ATACTGAATCGTTTTCTGACAGCCTATCTCCACTTAGAAATAACAACTCTTTAATCCTTCAAAAATGTCGGAGTTGGAAGACTACTCGCAATTCTTAAGACGTGTAATATCTCGTCCAGGAATTGGAGAGAAACAGTTTCAAACTCACGATTAGGATTCCCCTTCCGGTAGGTTTGATTCTTCTGCCAGACCGTTGACTCCAAATTTGAAGAATAAAATTCGTTGGCCCCTTACTCCGATGCAAAGACTTTTAAGTTAGCCGTCATATACGATTCTGGGTCAGAGGGCTGTATCCGACTTAGGAATTGTGCTCATGTCTTTTTTTACACTACATGATCCTTGTAAGTTTTTCTCTGACATCTAACAATAAAAAAAAAATTGTGCAGTTATTCTTAGCAAAGACAATTTTTTAGGTAAAGTTTAATACAAAACTCGTATAATGCAAGCAACTTTTATATATAGCAAACTTTGGAAACCTTAGCACATAGCGTTTGGGAGGTATTCACACCTGTCTGCTGTGATTACGGCATGGGCTGTTTATCATATTATCAAGCTTGTCATGGAAAGCTTATGACAATTTTCTGATGAGCGAAATCCTTGGTACTACACACCAAAAAGTTATTCGACTGCTCTGAATAGTTATCTCGTTGCGTGACGATAATTTTTTTGGGGCATGACATCATAGCCATTATCGATGCATTGTGGGATATGGGGGAGCCCCAATTTTCATGAGGAGGAAATATTGAGTCCTCATTATTTTAAACAACAACGTAATTTCCCTTTATTCACTTTTAGGCTTTCAAGGGAACAACTATATTTTGGAGTATTGCCGAGAGAAGTTTGTCTGGTCCTGGTGAAACTCTCGTGTATGCCCACGACGTTGACAGACGATAGTGTGAGTTGTTCCCGGCCGGTGAAGTGCAACCAAGTGTAAGTATATTTGATCGTTTGCTGCTGCTCGAGTTTAGCATAATCGTAAATAAGGTCATCATTATATTCAGTATTAGCGGGCAATATGTTTATGTAAACCAATCGCTATCTTCTCAAGAATACCAGTTCTCGTGACAGAACTCACTTTGAGTAGTGATCTGATGTGGCCAACAAATGCGGGAATAAGGAAGTCACGTCATGAATGCTTTCCGGAACTGAACATAAGTAAACGCATATTGCGTAACGTTTGCAAAAATTCATCTTCGATTAGATTACTTCCATCACTTCAATACAATCTATATATTTACTGTGGAATCAATACATCAGATCAAGAGCGATCGATGCATGAGAAGGAGGAAAAGATATTACGTTCAAAAGTTTAAAAAACACACAAAAAACGGCAAATTTAATTTAATATCACAATAAAGAACTGTCGAAAATTTAGGAAATATTCTAAAATAATAAATCGCCAGAATAATGAATTGGTAGCGAGACAAACGAATAAAACACTCCAAACCGTTTTCCTCGAAAAGCATTTCTCGGTAATTCAAACACCATTCGTATTGGAACTTCCGTTTCTCGCATTGTTTTGCGTATCTCCAGGCAGTTTGGAAGATAGCATTCTCCTTTAGAATTTGAATGAAAAAATTAATTCATTTACAACAGATGTAAGACTGACGGCTTGGTGTAATCTTCATCATTCTGATCATTTTATTTAATGCAATATATTGGGATGACTTCGAGCAACGTGTCCTACTCAGACAACCTAGAAATAATATTACAAACTAATTCATATCTAATTTCCAAAATCTCTGTTTTGTATGTATCCATTCTTGATACCTGGTTTAGGCTGTCAGTAAAAAGGACTTTGTCGATCAAAAACTTGATTTGCGCTCCAGATGTGTTGGTCTATTTAGCTGTAATTTATTTTGCACAGTTTTTCTGAGAAATGAATACTGGAATGCCAAGAAACGAACACCATAACGTTGTCTGCCATTTTCGCTCGATTATACTAAGGTAGTTACCTCTGAAAGTGCAACTTTCCAAAAAAATGCATCACAAGACCATAATTTATCACTCCTCAGCAGTTTTAGTAATGCAACTCTATGCAAACTTTTAAAATATTTCTTATGAAACTAAAATAAAAAATAGGACATGATGCATTCATTCCCAAATGACACATATTATTTTGTTGACAGTATTTACAGTATCCATATGTGATTTAGTTTTAACTCAAACCTGTTTTTTTTCAAAGATAGTGTTTGTCTTTAAGAATTTAAAGATAACTGAAATATTATAAGCCCCTCTTAAATACATGAGACAAACATTTTTTTGAAAACTTTGATATCTATAATTAATTGGTAACAGGGCTTCATGACTGTATGACTTGTGGTTGACAAATCAGACTACTGTTTTGCAGTTGTCCAAAATATTTAATCACTTGTATGATTGCAGACAGAATTTGACTCCTGAACTAGGGACCTGTCATTAAATAATTATATAGAGGAGGAGAGGGAAAAAAGAAGGGGGGGAGCAAGGCTATTTCAGATTGGTTAGAATGGGGGCTAAACTTTTTATAAAGAAGTTAAGGATGGGCAGCAGTTTGTGGTACATTTTAAGAGTGGTCCAATTTGCCCAAGGTGGGTAAAATAGTAAAAAAGGAGAGAGCAAACAATATAAGTGAGACAGTTCCATTTTTATGCAAAATAATCATCTTACTGACTATATGTGACATGACTTTTAATAATTACTAGCTGTGTAAGAGGAGACATGAGGTGACAGGGGGTCACAACCTAAATATTAGGGGGCTCTATTTACATGGCCTATAGGGGGAGGGAGCTTATAGAAATTTTGATCTTTCCAGCATTTGTTTTCTTACATTAATAATGACCTGTCCCTTAACTAGTCATTAACAAACTTGCACAGCTATATAGGACAGTGCCAGGGTTAATTCTGCAGTGAATAATCCAGCAAACTACCTACAATTAAAACTCTGTAAGAAAAATAAGCAAGGGTAACTTTAATGTGGGTAGACCTTTATGATAGTTAATGATTTTTTTTTCAGTTCATTTTTACATAATTTATAAGGTATAACCTTGCAGATGAGAAGAATTTGTAGCTTTAATTGGAATCCATTGTTTGTAGTACATTGTGCTGTACCATTACAAATATGGTTATTAAACAACTTTTATTTGTACATGGTTTGTCAAAAAATAAAGTAATAGCAAAAGTAACACTTGTTAACAATAAGAAAGGTCTTCTCTTACTAATGATTCCTATTAGGCTCCTTAATTTTCCCTAAACCTGACTATTAGAGTGGCTGCAATGATTTGCCATTGCAACTTATTCAGAATTAATTTTAACTCTGATTGATCAGGGTAATCAGGGATTTGCTTCAGCATTTAGACCCATGTACGAGTATGGTTCATACTCTCTGAGATTCTTTGATAAAAGTCAATGGGGAAGGTGCAAGGACATTACAACTATTTCTGAGCTTGGAGCCCATGCAGGGTTGAGATAAAAGACTTCTTTGATGCAATAAATATTTATTTTGTCTTTTTATCTCATGAATGCTGCATCTGATTTCAATCTTTCATCCTAAAGAAATTTGAGAGATGTTTTGTTTCCCTATAGGGACCCCCAAGATATTTTTGATCTGGCCTCTTTGCTCTGCACCTCCATGAGATATTAAATCTCTTTACATAATGGAAGAAACTAGTGCTTTGACTTCACGTTTCACAAGAGAGGAATCTTTTGAGGAAAAGAAGGTGAGAGTTGGCATTTCTGATCTAAATGTTTACCAGAAGGCTAATATAATCCCTCTAATGTTGGTTGTGAGCAACTGCATGGCCAATTTAGGATTTGTGAAGCATCTTTCAAAATCTGTTCACTCCTTTATTTGCCAAGCTCAGCGCAGTGTCTAGTTTCCAGGCCTCCTCTGATCCTAGCAACCTAACAAAGTTAATAACCAAATTGAATGATATCAGATTAACCTGTCAAATCTCACAAAACCTTACCAGATACCACTTAACTAACAAATTCAGCCAAGTTGACCCAGATTACCAACCTTAAATTACCTGAACTTCATCATCACTATTACATTTATCAACTTTCCCCAAACCTGTGCATTATCATGTGATGGTTATTATAATGTTGCCGACAGTGGCACCCATGTAACCTGACCAACTGATCATCAACCATATCTACCTGGCAACTTTAGAACCTGTCATCAACTATTGACAATAGACTCTACCAACTTCACCTTCACCTCACAAAACCTTCACCCTTAAATCAATTTCATTCATCCCAGGAACAACATCAACCTCACAGAAATCACCATGACCAAAGTCACTGTGTTACTGTAAATTCCTGTGATATGAATAAAATGAATAAATAAATGTTCGTCGTGTGTTTTCTATAAATTTATAACAAGATCGACAAAGTGTGAATTCTGGGTGAAGACTTGACTTTTCTTTTGTAGGGCCTGGCAGAAGAAAAATGCACCGGACAAGATGACAACAATGACATGGTAACTGCCGATTCTAACAACGAAGAGGTGTGAAAAAGTATCATATGTTTTAATCAATCAATCAGTGAAGGGAGGTCTTTATTTACGGTTTTTAATGTATCGATCAATTCGAAGTTTAATATCCCTTTCCCAGGCATTTGAACTTTTGAAAATCCCCCCCTCGGGGCAAAATTGTGTTCAAATGCCCGACCCAATTTTTTTGCAAAACTGACCAAGCGTAAAGCCTAGACCTTGCAGACCCTTTTTTAGCCATTCGCACGCGAAAGTAAATTATTTACCCTTGGCATCTCCTTATTTAAAGATAGAGCACTTGTATTCCGCTGGAAAGACTGGACACTACCGGTTCTGATTCCCTTTAATTCCCCATTCTCAGCCAAGCAAGGTTCAAATGGTCGTCACTGGGTTGCCCGAGGGGGGGGGGAAGGGGAAGGGGGAGAAGGGGGGGGAAGGCGGCTTTTCAAGCGGCTTCAAAACTATCGACGCTTGCAGACGTGAAAACTTTCTTAAGTCTTTTCATGAATACTGAATAAAAAGCCGTCAAAACACTAGAAAATATGAAATATATATTTAGAAATTCAAAGAGACCCAAAAGATTTCTTTTCACAAAGTATTTCTGTGAAGACTACAAAAAAAGAAACGGCTGTACTGGAGTGATTACATCAGAAGAGAATTTTGTCTGTGTGCTTTTTAGCAGTGACGGAATTTTAAAATAATGTGACATTCTAAGATTTTTTTGAATCCAAACACGAGTTAGCGCTGGCGTGACACGGATTTTTGTTGTTATTGTTGTTGGTGGTTTTTTTGGTTTGGTTAATTGTTCGTAGAAACGATGGTGTCATTATTGCCAAAAAGAGTGCCAAACCCAGTTCAGTCACAAACTTATTAGATGTGGCGGAAACTTTCCAACTGATTTAGTTCAATACTTCAAATCTTTTTCGTCAGGTCTGATTCACTGTTAAAAACACGAACACACACCTTCCCTTTTGAACGACGCAAGCCATTTATGTAATTTTTAAATTGTAGGAAACTAAGGACGACAACTTAAGATCTCTTAAAAACAGTCATCTTGAGGGGATAAGTCCACAGACAGGACCAATTGAGGATGAGAAGGGTTTTGATCAACGTGAAAATGCATCGAAACAATTTAATGAGGTAAATATTGATGACGCTTTTATCCAGGTGCCCTGCTATCCTTGTGCCTGGTTCTAATGATATTATATACGTAGGAAAGAACTGATTACGATTGGCTATTTGTTCTCACTTATGTTAGATTCATTTACCCGCAGAGGCTAACAGCCCACTTGATTAAAATGTCTTCAAAACATCGCCGGACACATTTCAGTGTTTCGTAACTGTTGCACCCAGCTAAGTTTATTTTTACCAACATTTAATATTGCAAACTCTGATTTGATCCTTTACACTCCAACATCATCATGCATATTCTCTATACTGTTTTCTTTATATTTCCTAGGTTCTAGCTGTCAACCGCTTACAAACAGCACTTGGCTTAAGAAAAGGAACAGAAAAAGAGGAAGTCAAAATTAAGAGCACACCCTCTAGTGTAGTAGCCTCTTCAAAAACCGAAGTGGTCGCTGACACAAGTTCTTCTGAGATACCAACCCGGTTCGAAAGTGATAGTCTTGAGGGAAGGTACATTATGAAGCTTGAAAGAAGATTAGCGTACCTTGAAAACTTGATACCTCAGTGCACACGTCATGAAGAAGATGCAATATTCAAGCAAAAGTTGCAGGAGAAAATCCACAAGCTCGAATTGCAATTAGAGGAAGAAGAAATCTTCAAACAAAAATTGCAGAAGGAGATAGATCAGCTTGCATCACAACTACAAGAAAGGGATCATTACAGACAGAAAGATCAGAAGACCACTAGGCAAGCTGGAAAAATGGCCCAACTTCGGAAGACGCCAGAAAACGAAATGACCCAGTGCCACTCACAGTTGAAAGGTAAGGGTGAAATTAAGGCGGTGGACGAGGATCATTTGCAGGACCACGCGCAGTTAAAAGAAGCAGATAGCGGTGGCGAGAAAACGGAGAAGAAGGTAGCCAAGGACAGTTATTCATATTCGAAAGAATCGTGTTGTAGTAAAGAGAGGGTGGAGGTAACGGCTGCCGAGCTCCAGCAGGTAAAAGAAGTGCATCGTCTAAAAGAGAACATAGACACAGAGAGAAAAACCGATAGACGTTTTGAGACAATAGAGAGGAAGGTAGGCGAGCTCGCTTTACAGTTGGACGAGCTGAATTTTCGTCAAGAGGAGAGAGAGAAGACAATGGCCCAGCTCCATTCAAAGGTAAAAGAAAAAGATTATCCAAAGGAGAACATAGAGCGAGAAATGCCAAGCGCAAAGGAACTGTTAAAAGAAATTGATAAACGTGTCGAGGGAAACGAGATGAAGGTGGCCGAATACGCTTTACAGTTGGATAAGATGAGTTCTCGTATGGAGGAGATAGAGAAAACGAATGACCAGTTCCATTCACAGATGGTAAAGGAAACGAATCATCAACTGGAGAAGATGGAGAAGGAAATACGGGATTTAAAAGAGCTGATGAAAGGAATTTGTCAACGCACCGAGAAAGTTGAAAAGAAACAGGCCGACCAAGGTTCCCGACTGAAACACATGGGCTCTCGCGAAGAGCGGATGGAGACGGCAATTGATCAGTTCCATTTGAAGTTGGAAGAATTGCGAAGATTCCTGGAGGAAAAAATGAAGAATGAAATGCGAGATGTAGTTGATGAAGTCAAGAACCAACGCGTAGTCCTCTCCACTCATGAAGAAAATATATTGCTTCTTCGTCGTGCTCTTGGTGACCTAAATCATATGTTTCAACGTGGTTTGAACCATTTAAAAAGGCGAGTTGATACCTTTCTCGTGAGTAATGGTCCAGCAGTACCCGATGGGCTTGGATAAGTCCATCTTGTAATGTGTTAGCATACCTGCCCAGAGAGTACGCGTGATCACACTTTTCTGCTCAAGAACCCTAAAATTTTGCTCAGTAGTTGAAGAAAGCCTGAGATTTACCTCAATAAGACTCTGAAAATTTTTCACAGGATATGCTTCAGGAATTATTAGCCACATTTGTTTTGTATTGGGCAATCAGTTGTTCTTATAGCTGTCATGTATAACATTACATATAATGATTTTCTGTTACTCTGCTTAGGTCACGCTCGAAAATCTCCAATTCTTTGAGTTAATCTAGGTCAAGCACAGTATGCCTGTGGTATTTCATCTTTGTGGACTCTTTACTGTTCTGACGATTGGCACGCATACGTTCCTTGTTTGGTAATGAACATGTTTAATTGCGGTTGTTGGCCTAGTGCCTTTTGTGTGTATATCAGCGGGCCAAAACTTTCCTAGAATATATACTTGTATTCTATGTGAAAAATGACAAGGAAAATTTTTTCCTTTAAAAAAAAAAAAAAAAATAGTTAGTCACCGATTAATTGCCCAACATATGGATAGAGCAAAGACTGATCTTCAACCAAAAAAATCTGCAGCAATATTTTGTAGTCGTTTTGATTTTGTTAAGTATAGCTAAGCTAAGTCTGAACAAAGTAGTGTTTTGATGACTAGAACTAGAAAAGTCAACTGTTGGCTGGAAAAAGTTCAATATATTTGGTGAGATTCCTCTGTCTTATATTATAGTTACACCAGGCTACGCCTGTGTGAAATAGTCTTTTTTCTACCAGTTCTTAGGATGATATAATGTATTCGCTTTTAGCTTTTGTAGAGTGCAACCAGGCTAACCTTAAATGAAATAGTGTTTCGTACAATGATTTTTACCAATGGTAGCAAATAAGTGACTTTCAAACGTATGTCAGTGTTATAATACGTTTCACTGTCCACCAGCTAGTGTTGAGTTCTTATATGATACTCTCTTTTAATCTGAAAATTAGATTAAGGTCTCGCGGTTTTGATATTCTTAGAATGGTGCGGAAACTAGCTAGCTGGTAATGTGTTCAGGAAACTATACTTTTGAATCTTGAACGAAACGTAGTAAAGTGTATCGTGTATCTTGAACGAGACTTGGTAAAGTGTATCGTACATTTGAAATACTTCCAGTTTTTTGATATCTTGAAGTTTCCAAAGTCTCATTTTGAACTAGCAAACAGTCGGCTGAAGATTTCAGGGTAACGACTACTGCCTTATTTTTACGAAACGGGTCCAATTTGAAACTCGGCACTGATAATTTCAGCGGACACTGATGGAGTGCGTTTCGAATCTTTAATTGATTTCTCGAACAAACTAATCCGCGCTAACATCCTTTTGGTGAATGCTTGAGTAATTTAAACATCTGAGAAGCTAAAAAAAGTGCGAGGCAAACACAGTCAATCGCGCTTTGCTTGTTCCCTCGTGTATTTGATTCGATCTCGCAAACAGGAACTGACTTCCTGATGGGTAGATTTTGCTGCATTTGAGCCTACGTATACCTTTGGATGAGCTCATGGGAATTACTAACAAATTCTCTACCGACACGAACACCACAAAATGGTTTTCTATTTGGGACTCTCTTAAGGCAAATGTTGCTCAAACACAAAAACAGATAATTTTACCGTGTTTTAACTCATTCATTCGTGTTAGCGCTGATTGAGGACACGTTGCGAGCAAGGCTCAAAACTGATTTCAGACCAAAAAATTTCATGACCTGAATTTCAGTTACCATTTTATTACATCCATTTTGAACTCGCAAAAGTTGATCACCCAAACACAAGATTTTTGTCAGTACAAATATTCTATTGATCCAGAACTGATAGGATTTGTTAAAAAATATAAAGCGGAACCTTTTAAAGAAAAAGAAAAGTTTTGGGGACAAAAGTTGCAAAAATTTGTAACGTTATGGCACCTTTGTTTTTCATTTACATGTTGTTTGATTAGTTACTTAGAACAAGTCCTGGAATGTGATTGGCTAATTTATTTTAGTGTTGTCTCAGTGGCTTGGAAAAAGATTTTGAACCAAAAGTAAGGCAATCCATGAATAAATCGCACCGCCAATAAGATTGCAAGGATCACCAGTGCATGGATACAAACTTTATAAACTCGAGAGGATAAATTCAAACCCACAAGCGGACATGTAATATGTTGTTTTACATCACGAGTAGAAGGCAAATAAAACTCCAGAAGAACACCACCATTGAGAACTAAAAGAAAAAAAAACCGAGTAGTTTAACAATCAACACCAATATTCCGTTTAGAATTTGTAGATGATAGAATTGAAGCTTCAAAAGCAAGGAAAAAAAGAACTGCGTTCCGTTCCTTCCGTTAGGGCCGGCACAACAAGTTTCCGGCTCTTTGGCCAAAATTCTCTGAGTTGAGTGAAGATCTCGCTTTCGTTGATGAACAAAACAACCAGCTTTATTTTTTTTTGGCTGTTGCTACGCGTTTCTCGCGTTCTTGCGCGAGGATTAGGAAGTTTCTCGAAAGATCTTGAAATAAAGATAGTGAGTGCGTTTTTCAAATACTTATGACAAAAGTTCTTAGAAATAGGTAAGGAAACGAAAAGAAGTTATAAAGGAACTAATAAAAAAAGACGATAGAGTTTTAGCCTTATTATGACGTGCGTGTCGGCGCTATGTTTTCATGGATAATTTTCTATTTTTATTAGTGAACCACCTTTTTATTTATCTTGGGAGTTCGAGTTAGTGGGGTTCTTCTGTATACTAAAAGCAATCATTCGCCTCAGTCTCAGTAAATATTTTTAATTTTGATGATCATTCAACAATATTCAGTGAGCCTGAAGTAAATAATTGTTAATTAACTGTTCGGTGACTTTGCATCATGTGACGTTATGTCGCGCAAAAAGTTAATGAATGGGTTGTTACTCAAACCAAGAAATATCAATCATCATCGCTAGGAAAGAATTTTCATCTTTTTTCTCTTAATTTCTTCCCACCGTCGCCTTCTGAAATATCTGTTATTATTATCCAACTGCAGCAAGCAGAGTACAAATAACGCTCGAATGGAGTACAAATATCCCGCGATATTGTACGGTTATTTGGACAGTTGGTTATTTTGTATTGTAAAATACCTGTTTGAAAGGTTGACCGCACTTGCGTGTGTTTTTCTATCAAGAGAGAAAAAAATGGACGACATTTCCTCAACATACGCATCCGCGGATTGTGACTGTTGACCTCCTTACCACTTTCAACTACAATTTTAAGAAATTTGACAGGCAATGATAGAGAAAGCGTTTCTTCTCCCAAGGCAGATGTATTAAAGGATGCTAAGACAGGTGAGTTCATCGAACAAAACAAGAACATAAACACTGCGAAGAAAACGAAGACTGACCTCAAGAGCTTATACGAATGACACAAAAAAGAAAATTATGCAAGAAAAAGTAACAGGTTATTGATTAAAGTAATATTCGTGAAAACAAAAGAAGGGCATGTAAATCCCCAAAAACGTACATTTTCTTTTCACATAGATGTTTAGTAAATATATCAAGTATGCCAAAGGTGCTATTCTTTTTTTCTCAAAAGTCCATTTGTAAAAGCTTTTCCAAATTCGAAACACTCGCTTTCTTGAATGGCGCCATCTTTCCTGTGACGTCACGGGTGGACCCTCTAAAGTTCTGTTTTATAACCGCGTGAGATACGTAGAAGTCTTCCCTACAGCCGTTGTTTGCCATTCTCGTTATGATTTTTTTACTTACAGTTTGCTTCAATATATTCAATTTTTCCATAATGGTAAAGCGCTGTGTTGTCTAGTTTCGTACTGATTCAACAAGACTGCGCATACTATGCAAAGATTTCCAGATGACCCAAATTTGCAGGGACAATGGGTTAAATTTGTTCAAGTGAAAATAGCCGATTTCGTCGAGCCGTTCGAATATTCTGTTGTTTGTAGCAGTCATTTTTTCCCGATTGTTAAGAGAAAAGCTACATTGTTGAAATGGGCCTTAAAAAGCGGCAACTTATCCCTGGTGCTGAACCGACGATTCAAGCCCTACCAGAAGCAAATTATTCTGAAGTAAAAAACGGACCCATTCAATCGGCAAACGACAAGGTTTCGGAAGTGGCCGGCCGAACTGAGAAGTCGAGCTCTTCAAAGATTAGAGGTCAACAGAGTAAGTACAAAATTGATTTACAAGGAAACGTTTCGTAAATTAAATAACTATAGCTTTATCAGTTCTCCAAAAACACCTTTTTCCTAATCTAATGAAAGAGTATGGGGAAGCCAGTTTTGGTATAAAACAGAAAATTGAAAGGTGATGGTGATCTTTAGAAAGCTGAAGTGAGGATTCTCGTTGCAGCGACTGCTAAATCCCTTTTCTACACAACGCGACGACGTTCTCTTATCGACATTTTTGCTGCGCGCCGTTCTGAAATGACGTTCCCGTCCTCTTGCTAAACCACTCTATTGATAAGGACGTGGCCCAGACTCTTCTAAAGATTCTGAATTATCCCCATTGCTGTCATAAACTAAGTTTAAGGCATTCGAGTCAGTCTCTTCTGAAAAAACATCGTCCGAACTACTGCTACTTACAAGAGCTGCCATATCAACTCTACTCCACTGTAGAGTATCTGCTGCGCTATATATTTTAGTTCCATCACTACGTCACGACTTGTCGCAATTGCTTTTACCGGAAGTTAAATTTTAACCTCTGAAAGAAAAATCTTCGTTTGTCAAATTTTATGTAGTTTTATTTTGAACGAGGTCTTGAGAAAAAAATAGGTCCGCAATGCGTACATGTGTGGCTTACGAAATTGAGCTGCTTTTTAGTGTCTGATGTCTCATTGGGTTTCTTTTAGAAGAGCTTATATCTGATTACCATTAGATAGTTTTCAATATTGACCCTGTTCATCAATAACACAAGATAACTAGCATACAAAAGTCCTGAAATGTTCATTCTGAAGATGAGAGTTATCGGCCAAACTTTGTTATGGAGGTCTCATTTTGACAACAAAAGTTGCGCATGTAACTCGAAGATTTAAGGAACTGAAAAAAAATCAGCATAATCTCCCATAGTGGTCTGATAGATTCAGTCATGATTATGTTTACGTAACGAAGTGGAATTGACTTCTGAAGTTTGTAGGTTGATTGTCTTTTCCAAGGCAAGTGATGTGAAATGAACTCCAGGGAAGAATTTCATATGAATATTTTTGACATTTTGTGTACAAGTACACAAGGACAAAACTTTGGAGAAGGGCAGGGACATTCAGGAAATGATGTAATCTACACTAGAAACCATTGGGAGCTTGATTTGGTTTGAATGTATGACTAATTTTGGACAATACATACATGTAAAGTAACACAATGCTGGGTGCAGGTTTCTTTTGTCCATTAGGGCATAAAGTTCAACTTTCAGTTGGTTGAGAGCAAAACGTTTACTATAATTATTGTATTTAGGTTCTGAGGGACTGTATTTTCAATAAAGGAAAATTTAGTTCAGGTAGGTAGATATGAGGTTGCAAATGGAAGAGTCTTGGGAAAAAAGATAGGTACATTACAAGATCAGAACACAAGCAATATTTTAATGAATCATATGTTGAGTTAAGTACTCTGAAGTAACATTACATTAACGTTGCTAATAATTTTTAAACCAATAAGACTTACAATTTGACCTGGAGGTTCTATTAAACAGAAAGTTAAATAGAGATAGAGTGTCGCCATAATAGATTTCAGGAACAGTAATCATAGACATAACTTCAACACAGCAGGTTCGATGTACAGGCAAGTACATGATGGTATCATATGATTTAAACTACCAGAAGCTTTCAAGTTTTCTTATTATTGAAATTGTAATTTCATCCCAGTGAGTCTACCAAATTCAAGTTATGTGGAGAAATGAATGGGTGAACTTGACATCATCATGCAAATGGTCGACTTAACATGGTGAGCAACTGAACTCCATGTATCACTTTGTGTTAGAGCACACAAGAGGACTTGTGAGACCTGCTTCACTCTCATTTGCCAGAACAAGATTGAACTTCTGGTACCAATCAAAATTCAGAATGACTGTGACAGTTTGGAACTGATCTGTCAAGACTGTGCTTTTAGAGGGTCTACAGATGTGATTAGAACCCTGGGTCTCCGAGGATACCTGATGATTATCTAATCCACATCAAGTAGCTCTAACTTTTAACTATAAACATAACAAATGTCAGTTCCATTGAACTGTCTTTATAAAAACTCAACAAAGTCTAAGCTAAGTTAATTAAAGTGTGCTTTGGCACTCAAAATAAGCAGAAGTAAATTTTTCACAAATAACAAATGTTGAGCTCATAACATGTGTACAGTTTAAAGTATTTGAAAAATTTACAGGTGCTTATCATACGAGAAATTGTTATTAATTATTCATAATGTATACATGAAAGATACACATTCACAGGAAATCAATAAACTGATGGCAGATAAATTTGACAGTATTGACTAAATGAAGTGTGTGCCAACAACATTTGTCCTTCTGCTGAATTCTTACTCAGGAATGGAATTTGTTAGTGTTTATCAATATACATAAAAGTATCCAAGCTTTTGTTTATTTTTGTCATCTACTGCATGTAGCAATCAGAACAACCAACTTTGTGTAAATCTGATTGGTTTCTAATGTGATCTATTGTTGCTGAGCCTATTTTATATTATTTTCTACATGAGTTGTTACTTTTTCACTTATGATAAATGATAAAGGCACCTAGCTATTTTCAGCCAATCAAAAAAGTGCAATTTTTCATGTATATCAGTATTGTGATGAATTCAACAAACCAAACGAGTAACTGAAAAGGAGTTTTAGTCTACCAAATAAAGGCCTAATACACATGTATTGCTACAAAGTATAGATACCAATGCTTATCTGAACCATTATGAAGAGAATCTAGAAGACTGCCTAGCTTGAAGGAAGTCATGAGATATTAAAGTCTGGATAATTAAGGCCATAACTTGGAAAACACAACACTAATCACATTTCAGTTAACATTAAAGCACTAGGCTCTTATTCATATTTTAATAAAAGCAAAACCACTTTGTTACTGAGTTTCAATGGATTACTCCCCAAAAGTTTGGAAACAATCACAATAGACATTTAGCACCATGTTAACAACAAACTGCAGTTTCAGGTTAGGCATTAGATGTTTGTGACTTTTATTGGTTTAACTATGTAAACATGAAAGTATAATTTCATTTAAAGAGGCCATCAAATTGAATTTCCAGACAAAGCAGTGTTTGATTTTCTTATGGCAACAAAAAAGTCCTATTTTCACTACTGGCTAAAAATGGTTTATTCTATTTGTATTCAATGAAATGTAATGCCATGGGTGGCAGGGTATTCTGCAGTTTGACCAAAATTTTATCTTTGCATGTACTAAAAAGACTGGTTAAGTAATTTTCTCTTCTGAGCATGTGGTATAGACAGAAATTCAGGATAAAAAATGTTCTGGTAAATGACTTATGTGAAATGTGAACACACAGAGAGTCAATAATGACTCTTAAGTTTCAATGTGGTGTGACCTGCACTAAAAGTCCAGACCATGAAATGTTGGTCTGTGAGAGCACAACTCCATGCTGTAATCCGCAATAAGAAGACAAGCTGATTGTAGGAAAGCCGGCATGTGAAATCTAAGCAACAAAGATGAATGAAAAACTAGATAAAAAAAACGATCTTCTCTCTACATTCTGCTGCCTCATTTGCAATTTTTTGGCTTTGATACTGAGATTGGGTTGCCAGCCTCTTTTTTCTTGATTCAGAAGATTCATTTGCACATTTCTTTTCCCTGTTCAGAAGCTCCTGGGCCAGCCTATTTTCCCTAGATTCCTCACTTCCATTTACCCTTCTTCGTTTCTCATATTCATGTCTAGCAATCAATCGTTTTTCTTTTTCTTCTGGCGTTTCAGTTAGAGACTTTTGCGTCCTTTTCATATGTTGTGTTTGGTTTCTTTTATTTCTGAAAGGCAAATGTTCAATTTTTGGACTCTCATGAACATTTTGCAAATCAAAGATGACAAAGATACCTTTAATTTCAAAAGGAACAAACCCTATTTGTAAGCAGGAAATGTTCAAATATGGTACAAGGTTTTCCATTCCTTCAATGGTAAGCAAAGTACATTTCCTAAATGAGTGCGGCATCCCATACAAATCCCTGGAATGAGCATCAAAAATTTTAAAGCTTTGTTCTGAATTCTTAGTCACTGCAACAGTATTTATTCCAATTGTTAACAAACAACAATTGTAGTTAAGTTGACAATTTGAAAACACTTCTGTCAGAGAATTTTGAAGAGACATGTATGGCCCATTATTTGATGTCACGAACAAACTTCCTGTTAATGACTCACTATATTCTAATGTGTATACATTATTGTAAACTGAAACAATGCATGGAACATCAGTTAAAAGCAAATAATAATTTGTCTGGACAGAACATCTAATAGAAGTATACAAACTATTTCCAATGGTAAGAATATTAATCAAAATGGAAGAAGTCCACAAATTGATATCTTCTATGTGATGATAAAAAGTAGCAGCAAGTGATATTGCTACACATTGCTTACCAGCATTTTCACCAAAGAGAGCTTCATTTCCTTGACTGTAGTCAGCACATATTGTTCTTGTCGGATCGATGACATCAAATATTGTAGGTCCTGGATTTTCCTCTACATCATTTGCCTGCCTTATAAGTAATGGAATGTAGGCATTGTTGAAAATCATTTGTGAAAACCAAAACATCACATCATTCCACATTTTGTGTTGTCCAACAACTTGATTCAATACTGGCAAGTAAAATACATTTAAATAGAACATCACAAACATTAAACTCCAACAGTGATCATTAAAACGTGATAAGATATCCTTGGTTTTCACGAAATTGTCATGAGAGCCAATACTTGACCGGTATTGTTCAATCGAGATTCCCATACTTACTTTTTCGTTTTGAGATATACCTCCGTGAATTCTCAACAAGTGCAAGGAGAAAGCAACTGCAATACAACTTATTTCACTTTCTGGCTTTTTCAGGTGGCTTCAGACACTTTAAAACACTTTAAAACACTTTCAGACACTCAGTGGTGCAACCCGCACCGACAGATCAAGCCGATAGTTGTTGGCTGGCGAGAGTGCAGTAACTCCTTTCAGTGGTACAACCCGTACCGAAGATTCAAGCAGTTAAATATTGTCTTTTAAGAACGTAGAAGCTTTTGCACAAGCTGCACTTATAACACAAGCCGGGTCTGAATGTGTTGGCTTGTGTGAGGAGAACTGACTCGTGATACGATCACCTGAAAAAGATTACTCGTGACCACGCTTACAATCAAGATGGCTGACTCAGGTTAGTGCGTCGTACAATACTACGATAGTAGACCACGTGCCAGGCGCTCGACTCTCGTGGACAAATAAATCAATCGGTTGTGCCATAATGTCTTTTCGTTTGATTGGAAGTTTTAAAATTATCGCTATCATTCTCCACCAATCATAAATAGATCCCGATCAACGTCACTCAACCCAAACTTAGACCATTACGATTCCCTCGGTTGTACGAGAATTATCCATTCATCCCACGGCATTGTTGTTGGCGTTCCGTCGCTAATGTACCAAGTGCCGAAATGGCAGGTTATCGAATAGGAGAGAAAAATCGTGCCAAAATAGAAAAGAATCCCCAACTTCGCTCTCTTATCTGCCTTTATTGTGAGTATTTGTCGAAAGATCCGACAGTTTTAACGTGTGGACACCGCTTTTGTCGAACTTGTGTGGAAAGCCTTCGTGTTTCGGGGTAAGTTAAAATGAGTTAATCCCGGTGAATCAAAAGATCACAAGTTGAAGTTTAGAACATGTGATGGGGTCGATGAGAACTTACTTTATTCCGCTTACTTGACACAGAAGTGTCACTGACTAAGGAAAATGTTGGTTCCTTCACATTTTGCATATTTTGCAACGAATGATTTTTGTGTATATGTTTCTATCCGAGAGTTTCAGCGTAAAACTAGTATCAGTGTGCCCATATTCTGATAAATTTTCGAAAGAAAGATAAGGAATGCTATAGAAAAAAATCTTAAGTCGGGGACTTCTTTTCCCGCGAAAATAAGTTTCTCGCGCGAGTTGAACATGGTGGCAAGGTAAAATCATAAACTTCCTCGAACGGTTTTTATGCAAATTTGGCGAATCCACCATCAGCCAATAAGATTGATTGCTTCTTTTCACTGATGAACGTGACGATGTTCAGCGGCGTGTGCGGATCTGAGTGTGTGGTAGTCGTGAGAACAAAGGCCGATTTCGTACCACTGCAGAGCCCAGCCGATTTTTGCTCTATTTTCTATCAATTAATTCTCAATACTAATGTAATCTTTTGAATTATCTAGTTCCTTTGTAACTGTGGCATGCCCTATTGATGGCCATTATGTAAAGTTGGAGGAGGTAAGGTTGAGCTTATTTATGCCATATAACTTCAAGGCAGATTTAAGAATACCAGCACTATGCTAAGCACAGAAGTAAATCCAGTACAGTGTGTGTTACCAAGCCGACGTGTTACCTAAATGTAAGCTATCCTTTCAGGATTTTAGCCCCATGAATTTCAGTTTTTAAAAGAATGTACATGAGTATGGGTTCCCCAGATTTCTGATCTTTCAAGAAGGGTTTTCAAGATTTTTTTCTCCCTATAACTATTTTTCCATCATAAGAATTTATAAATTAGAAGATTTGAAATCACTTAAATTTACATCCTCTGAATTTTTAACTTTGTTAATTCTAGTGCCACCAAGATAAGCTCGCAATAACACAAATAAACAATCTTGTTATGTCCTGTGAGATAAAAACTTGCACTTGGCATGGCAGGGTATGGCATTTGGAGGTGAGTTTATTTTTCTGTGATCACATTACCCTAATTACATTTGTCAATCCAACTATGTCTTTAAGTTAACTGTGACCTAAAACTGCTGGAGTGGTTATTCCCAGTTTCTGAGCACCAAGTGATGAAAGCTTTGCTGGTCTATTGCATGACAGGTTAACCCCAACCATTCCCCCCCACCCTTCCCCCTTGAAATGTGCTTGGTTTTCCTAACTTGTACTTAGCTTTACTCTGGCTAGGGTGAAGTCAGGTGTACTGAGTTTCTACAGTAGCATGTTTAAAATCAATGTTCTTTGCAATTGATCTCAACAATATTACATTATTAATCTAGTCATGAATAAATGTGAATTTACATTAGCTGCAACTGTAAGAATTGGTTAAATTCTACTAATAACCACCAGTTGTAATTAAATAATATAATGAATTAAAGAAAGACCTCTTTTTGTCTTGTGGCTTGCATGGAACAAAGGGATAATCTGTGTTCTAATGCTTTGCATAGAGCCATGGAGACTCAAAGGTCTGAGGTTTGATTTTTTATGGAGCCTTTTTCCTTGTCCCATACTTGCCATGTAACAAAAAATGAGCCTTCATACCAATTATAATTTTGTCTTTTTGTTATTGAAGTCATATTTAAGTATTGAAGCACCTACATTACTTGTATTCTTCTTGAATAGGATCATATGAAAGATTTTCACAATGGCCACGAAGAGGAATGTGCAAAGGTAAATCAATCTACCTTTTTCTTTGGTGTGGTGGTCTCTAACTCAAGGGATCATTCGCTGAGGTTGTCTCTTTTACCTGACTACAAAGCTTACCCAAGTGTAACCTGAAGCTACATATTATTAAGTAATCAAAAACATAAGAGTGATTTAGATGATTATTACAGATCACTTAAAAGTCAGAAAGAATAATTTTCAAGATCAGGGAAAAGTCAAAGGGAGTTTCATTCTGATAGTCAGGGAAATTTATATCTTTGAGTGAAGTCAGGGAAAAGTGAAATTTCTATTAAAGTTATATGAAATGCTTTATCTTGTCATGGCCCTCTTTATGATTTCCCTTTGTATAAGCAATTTCAAATTGGTTTGTGAATGACATCATGTTTTTTATTTTTCTTCTATTTTAATTGTTTCCTCGCGTTTTAAAGATTATTTGCTTCATTTCATGGTCAGAGAAGATGTTAGATCTGTGGAATATTCTGTAATTAAATTGATTGACAATAAAGCTAAGGATGACTTCACTATCAACTTGTGTACACTGTATGTAACTTACTGAGGGCATAAAATTTTGGGTGGAGAGGATGCCTGTGAGATGAGCTTGAAGACCATCATCAGGACTGTTTTTTAAATTGTTGATTCATTTGGTCAAGAAAAATTGATGATATCAGTTAGAAAGTATTTTGAAAACCTATAACTGAGGCAACCATGTAATACAAAATTTAGTGCTAACAGTCAGTGCTTGAAAACTGAGCATGAACATATAACTGAGACTAACAGTAATTATTATTTTTTAAGAATTTGCACCAGGATGGGGAACTTAAAAGGCTAAGACAGGAGCAACAAGAGGCAGCAAGGAAGATCATGGGCATGGAAGAAATGGTGATCATTTCATTAGACTAATGTAAAAACAGTTGTACTTTCATGTGAAAATAGTAAACAAAGTAAAAGCAGACTTGGTCCATTTACTTGCACTACTCTTACACATGTATGCAATCCATGAGCTGACAAATTTCAAATATCTAGAATAAGAACTAAAGGTGAACTCAAAACATTGCTGTAAATGCAGTGGGAGAATTCATCCCTTCAAATACTTTGATATGACTATAAGCTGAGGCAGATGCTTCACGTTAAAAAGAAGGAGTAATTACCATACCCTTCAAATTTGAGGTATTGTAATTCATGTTAGATACTCACTCGGGCTGGGGTTTATACTACCTCAGTTTTGAAGGAGTATATGTACTCATACAAATAATTACCATGTTCTATTATTTTTTAATAGAGCCATGAATAAAGTGAAAATTTATTTGTTTGGATTGTTTCTTTCATTTGTAGCTTGGAAACCAAGATGTGACAATCCATAACATAAGGAGGCAACTTTCTGTATTTTCGGATGCTTTTGTGAACGTCCAAGGCCATGGTCAGTTGGACAATAAAGTAAGGGACTAAACAATAAAGATTCAGTATATGCAGATGATGAATCAAGGTTGTTAAAGTGTTTGTCAGTTTTTCTAATTAGAATGGTTATTTTACGATGCCAGTTCTTTAACTGATTTAATTTTGTGCTTTCTAAATGTTTTGTTTGTTTCCTGTATGTGCTGTGAAACAATTATTGTTTCAATTTTTCTCATAAGGGTCTTATTATCTTCCTTGGACATATCAGATGGTTTATGGAGGTTTCTCCCCGTACCACTTTTGTGAATTAACCCACCCCCGCTTGTAGTAAAACAGTTTGCCCCAAATTAACTTTTCCTTGTAGCAAAATTCCTTTTCTGTCAAAATCATACTATAAATTCTGATCAACCTGCAATTTTTTTTTTTGCTGAGTCACATACTTGACTACAAAACCATGTTAGTCACCCCTAAACACTGTGTTTGGTGACATGAGTGCAAGTATTAAATTACAAAGTATGTTTGTGGGTGATTGTTTAAAAATAGTTGTTACCTTTAAAGGGGCTGTTTTTGTTTCATGTCAACAAGTGAATGAATACCAGACTAAGATATGAGAGGTTGAGTGAACTGGGGCAAATAAAAGTACATAAAAAATCTACTTGCACATTTCTATATTTGCATATTTCAGGAAATATTGACAGGAAGTGATGAGCTGAGGCAACAACTGAACACTTTCAAGCATAAAGTTCAAACTTTGGAAGAACAGGTACCGGTACATGGACAAATTTGATGAGGTTGACTGAAGTCTTACTCTTCTTAACTTACTATCTACTTTCAGCAGAAAAGTAATGTCTTGACCAAGTGTACTGTACTGTGTTTTCCTACAATTGAAAGGTTTTTTCACAAAATGAGGGAGTTTGCATTTGACTGAGACTAACAGTGATTATTATTTTTAAGAATTTGCACCAGGATGGGGAACTTAAAAGGCTAAGACAGGAGCAACAAGAGGCAGCAAGGAAGATCATGGGCATTGAAGAAATGGTGATCATTTAATAAACTAAATGTAAAAACAGTCACACTCTCATGTGAAAGAAAGAAAACAAAGTACAAGTAGACTTGGCCCAATTACTTGCACTACTCTTACATATGTATGCAATCCATGAGCTGACTAATTCACCAGGCTACTAATTTCATTTATTCAAAGTATATTTTGGATTATGGGGGTATTGTAATTCATGTTAGATACTCACTTGGGCTGGTGTTTCTACTACCTTTTTAAGGCAATATATATATATATATATATATATATATATATACTCGTACAAATGATTACCATGTTCTACTATTTTTTAAGAGAGCCATGAATAAATTGATAAACTTTTTGTTTGGACTGTTTCTTACATTTCTTGCTAGAAAGGCAAGATGTGACAATCCATGACAAAGTATGTTTGTCACTGATTGCTTAAAAATGTTTGTTACCTCTAGAGGGGCTGTTTTCGTGTAATGGCAACCAATGATTGAACACTGGAGTAAGATATGAAAAGGTTGAGTGAATAGGGTTGAATACAAGTACATAAAAAAAAAACTTGCACATTTCTACATTTGCATATTTCAGGGAAAATCAACAGGAAATGTTGAGCTGAGGCAACAACTGAGCACTTTGCAGCATAAAGTTCAAACTTTGGAAGAACAGGTACATGGACAAATTTGATAAGGTCATTTGATGAGACAAGGTTGATAAGGTCTTACTCTTCTTAAATTGCTCTCTACTGTCAGTTGAAAGTTATGTCTTGTTTTGTTGTACTGTGTTTTGTTTTCTTACTACTGGAAGGTATCTTTCACAAAACTTGGGAGTGTCCATTTTTTTCTTAACCTTTCACAAGGGAATTATCATATCTCTTGTCTTTTTTACTTTCCAGCTAAGGGTACAAAAGGATCAATGTGGTAAATACTATGTTGAGTGTGTAGCTGAAAGTGGTCGCACTTGTGAGGAGCGTAACATAGAGGTTGAAACTCTTCAGGGCTCTATCAGTTGTTTGAAGAAACAGCTTGTTGATGTACAAAATAAGTATGCTGCTTTGCAAACCAGCCATGCTAACTTGCAACATCGCCTTGATGCTTTGCAAGCTCAGTTTACATTTTCTTGATGTTCACCAGGAGGCACTGAAATGGTTTTATTTACAGTTTGATTGTGCCTCTTTGACAAGTTCTTCAGCTGAAGTATGTCATCTTAGTGTCACAAAGTGTCCTATACTCTTTGTGGAGGGAAATTTATTGTGAGATTACTCCCTGCAAGGCTGTTGCAGATTTCATTCTTGATTCCTATCAAAGGTGATTATGCCTGTGTTTTTACAGTAATGTATGGTGCTTGTTGTAACCCCTAGTCTTTGAAGTAGGTCCTTTGAGATAGCCCTCATTTATTTTTGTGACTCTTGAGGGACATAGTCGAAGTTTGTTTGTTATGAAAAGCAATGTTTCATTTCTCTTTTTTTTAATGAATTAGTGCTACTTTCAGACATTAGGAGCCTATCCTGTCTATTATTATCCATTATCTGCATTACTTTGTATCAAACACAGCTTTTATCACACTGAAATCTGCAATTTTGCTGGTAACTGGTATTCATGTTTAATTTTCATCAAGATCCAAACTTCATTCCCATGTTCCTGACAAGGAAAAAGCTGTTTGTTGTTAGTAGGGCCAGTTTACAAAATTTGTGATCTTTTCTTTTTAATCGGTACCTTTAAGTTTGAATTGGTAGTGCTATTGTATGGAGAAATTGATCGTTGGTAATTCTGTAGGGATTAGAGAGTAGATGTGTTTTTATACTAGGTCACACCAACTTCTTTAACCTGTTGGCTCATGTTTTGGAAGGAATTTAATGATAACACCGTGGGAAATTTCAGAAAAAGGAAGGAGGATACTTTTGGATTATGAACAAGTGATTTTTCCAACTTCATAGGTAGCATATTTCCTAAAATAGGTGCCCACACTCCATGAAGTGCCCCCCCCCCCTCCTCTCTCAATTTCTTAAATAGTAAAGATACAAGGAAAAATGATTCTATTGCCAAAATTGACCAGAATCAAGCTTTACCTACTGCAGTACAAGAGAATAGTTAGAGAATATTCTTCTATTGTCCATGTGGTAACTCAAGAATTATCATATTGGTTAGCAGTAGATGTGGTTGGAGCATCATAAATTGTTGTTCCACTGTAGTGTAATAGAGGGTTGGACCCCATGAGTCTATATGACAGTACTTATTACTAATGACTTGATGTAAAACAGTGCAAAAATCATTTTAATACAACTCAAACACCCTTGAGTGTTTGATGGCAATTTCGAATTTTATCAGGAAGAGTTTTTTGTCACCTTATTTTGAGGCTATTTTCTTAGAGTCTCATTTTATAAGAGTCTCGTGAGACGATGAAAAACTCGTAAAGCTTCTTAAGCTCTAAATTGTAATATTTTTAAAGGGTTTTGTAAAGGTGGAAATAACATAGTAGTTTGTTAGACAAACGATTTCAGGGTAACGAAGTTAGTATAAATTTGTATGGTATCACCAATACCGGTTATTCATTGCCACCCTAGTTTTCTAGTAGTTTTGGTATCATAAACTAGAATAACCTATTGAAACAAAAAAATTGTTACGTATTAGAAAAGTTGTTGATTAAAGAATTTTTGTTTATAATGGTTTGCGCATGTTTCCATTCTTTGATATTATTGGTCTTAATGTTGTTTTATGAGTTATAATCTTACTCGTTAACCTTACTCTTATTGGGAAATGTTCTTAAATATGCGCTTGCATTAACCCTTTGAAAATATTCGTTCAGCGCATCGCACGAGAATTTCGTAGACTTCCCTCTGACCTTCTTGCCGATTTACGCTGATGGGACAAGTTTCGCTTGGCTTAAAACGGCGTTTACCCTCTTCGTTCTCCTTCTTGGCCCGTCTTCGATTCATCGATCCTGCTGCCTTGCCCATCGCTAACGAATTTTGGTCAGAACTGACTATCAGAACCCTGGACTCGCAATCAGTTCTAGTCCCTGTCGCATTCTTTTTGTTCATTCGTTTTCGCTTGTTCTCTGGTTTTACATTTCTCTTTTCGATTCGGAATTGCGCGCCCTACACTTACCGGGCCTCGAAAACACTATCGCTGGTCCCTTGATCAAGTTAGTGGGACACTGATCTTCATTATCGTACCACCTTTTACGACGCTGTTTCTCCCTCTTGCGATCACTTGTCGGAATACTTTTGTTCCTATGATTTGTTTCGTTACAAGTGCCTGTGGTAACTACGAAATGATACTTCTTCTCCTCCTTGGTTTCTTCACTTCTCAGGAGAGCGCATCTCGTTCCACGTTCAATCGACACTTTTACGACCTTTTACGCATTATCACAACGCGTTGTCATTGGGTCGCGTTACATTCACCACTTCTGGGGCTCGTTTCATTGACACACGAACCATGTCACTACTTCACTTGACTACTTTACTTCAGAGATACTGCTCTCGTCTTACCTATTCCGCACATCCCAGGATCACCTCTCTGCTTTCTGGTTTCACTTCAGTCTTTGCTCTGCACAGTCCGCGCCCTTACCACTCTCTCTCTACATTCACATCCACAGCAAACCAGTTTGACTTCATCACGGGCAAGTCCCTCAACGATGGCATTTAACTTTTTAACTTTTTTCCATTGGACTCGCAGGATTTCTCCGGCCACAGTTTGCGCCTCGTAGGTGGTTCATTCGCGTCTAAATGCGGAATTCCCGCTGATCTCAAGGAGGCTGGCGTTCCAATGCTTATATGCTGTACTTATGCTTGCCTTTGGCGGACAGACTTTTTCTTTTGAGCATTGTATCGCAGCACATACCCAGTTTAGTACCCTAGCACATTTACACTTGTATATCATTTGCTTCGATATATACTTTATCCTTTGTCTTCTGCATCCTTGTCCTCCCCAGCGCCTCTTTCTCACTCTTCTGTGAGTCTTGTTTGGGCCTCTTTCCTTGCTTGGGCTTCTCTCGAGTATTCAGAGCTTTTTGGAAAAAATGATCCACTAGCTGTTTTTCGTGGCGTTGAGGAGCACGGAAGGACATAAGGAGGATAACTACACAAAATGATCTCAAAATGTATCTTTCCTCAGTGTCGATCATACGTATACGTCTCTCGCTTAAAAATGGTCCGCTGGAGAGAAAGCTTTCCTCACGCTTGTACTTGTACCCGCATGTACCGTTAGACCGTTAAAGAACTAACTCAACCGAATCAGTTGCCGTTAGATTAATGTTTTCGGTAGGAAGTATGTCTTCTGAGTGTTCCCCTTACTTATCAGACTACTTGGGTAGAACAACCCACAGGTATACAATGCAGCAAGAAGAGGGTTCAGTTGCTGTGAATGGGATTACTGTGCTGGTGGAATAAAAGGGAAAATAATTAAAGCATTCGTTAAATTTTAGTCCTTTTGCTTCAAAGCCTCAAATTAAGGCTTTTCCTTGGGGTTAGAAACGAAAGGTGGACTCAGGTGTAATAAAGTGAGGGGAGGTATTTATTACCTTTTTATTAAGAGGTAATAACTCACAATGGCAGTAATATGAAAATGGTAACGATAATAACAATTATGACGATAACGATAAACGCAAATTAACATAGACAGGGACAAGGATGGGGTTGGGGGTGATAATGATGATGACAATACTAGTGATAGCAGGAATGACATGGTTCCAGATCGTACTAAGTTGACAATGTAGGACTTCACTAACCACCCCACCAACCCCCTTTCCTACAATAAGCTCTTGTCAGACTCTAGGATCTGAGTATAGTTATTAGAAATATTCAAGTCGTTGAAGAAACGAAAGAAGGAAAGAAACAGATTTTGAATTAAAATGAATAAAAAAAATCCTCAGAGATAACTAGTTACCTGGCAAGGCCTTATAATTATTTTCACCCTCCCCAAGGCTTACAGAGAATACACTTGGTTCCTTTAAAACCTATTCCACGTTCCTAGTCAGTGGAAACGAGCGAGGGAGCAAACGAACATCAAACGGTGACGGTGGTTGTCAAGGGAATGGTTTTTACGGATTTATGACCACCGCCCTCTGGAGTGTCTGTCATAGAAATGATGGGATAGAGAATCGACGCTATGTATTATGGGATTGAGACTCCTATAAAAATTACTGGAAGTGAAATAATTTTTGAGCAGTCTTCTTCGCTTCTTGAAGGTTTTACCTTGCAGAAGAGTTTTCCTAGAGACACATTTATGTTTTAATCATATTGTAAGTATTAACGAGAAGTAGGATACACATGTTTGATCTAATTAATGCCGTACTTTTGCTTCCCTTTGATTATCGATAGCATAATTTAGTTTGTTAGTTACTAAGTAGATTCCTTTAGTTAAGTAGGAACTTAAAATACATTTATTTTGAGCTCAAGATGCTGGAGACAAAATGCACCTAGTTTATTAAAATTACATAATACAGCACGTGGCATTAATATAGGTGTTCAATGGCTTTATTATTCCAGTATACCTAAGGGAATAAGACGGAAACGAGAATAGCTTCTTTTAGCTTTCTTTTATTGCATTGTCTGGCCGTATCTTTGGAATACCTTTGTGATATGACGGCTGTAAGAGAAGAAATCTTGTTTCGTTGGGTCCTTGCACCCAGATCATTATCAATGTTAGCCTTGCTTTCAGTTCACCCTAGGAACCGCAGGAGTACCTTATTTGTGTTCAACCAAATTATAATTCAGTACCCATTCATCAAACTTCACTGAGCACATATAGGACTCTTGTATACCTGAATACGAGACAATTATCTCAAACTCCTGTCAAACTTAGGACCTACATTTGCAGCTTCTCATCAATTCCAGTGATATCACAGTTACAATGTGTGGGACTATCTAAACTTGAGTGGAAAATTATGTTACTGATGTACTATTACATTGTTTTTAGGAAAGAAATCAAGAAGGCAGCAATAATCATGATGGATGTCGATGGAGACCTTTCAGTTTGTAATCAGTGCGGATTCCCACTGTATAATGCTGTTATGGCAAGTCATACAAAATACTCATGTTGTTCAGCTGACATAAACAATTTTGATTTCTGGTGAGTGAGTGGAGAGAGATAGTAACTATAACAAAGCCATTTTGTTGCTCTTTTGTCACTTGTAGATGAATTAAGGGCTTGGCGAGTCCATTCCAAGCTATCCAATTGGTACTCACAGAAAGAATATTGATGAGCCACAATTTTTTTTTAGGTTTGTTTCAAGTGTATCCAATATGAGTTTTCCAATTTTTAGGGTTGTAGAAGTTGTGTTTAATCTTCAAATTTACATTGTATACCCAGACAATTCTGTGCATTGAAAGTGTGATTTTTATTAATGTTACTTTTATTGATGATCTAAAAAACTAAAAAAATAGTTAAAAAAATATATTGCAAAAAGAAACAGTTTGAATATAATTAAAGCACTGAGTCACATTTCCTTAATAATCACATAACCCTGTGCCTGATTTTTGTTCTTTATTCCTGTAATTTTTGATGGCAGTACAAGGCATTAATTAAATGCAGTTAAATGTATGCCTTCCAATGTCCTGGATACCATATCTTCCTTTAATGTGATATGGCTACCAATAAGAACTGAATGGGAAGTTAAATACTAAATAATTATCACTTGGTATCTTGGGTCAAAACCAGTAAAGTACTTGTTAGAAAACAAGAAAACAGCTGCTGAAGGTGTGGCACCAGACCAGTGAATAAGGAACTTGAAATTGAATATCATTTATTCTTGGGTTTAACTCTGACTGGATTAATTAAGAGCCTTCCATTTAGATGTTTCATTGTTCCTCTTCATCTTAAGAATTCACACATTAGTTCAAAGATATAAAGTTATATTCATTCATAATCTTACTTCAGAATGTATCAGCAACAAGAGTTATTACAATTCAGAACCAAAGTATCGCTTGATAAGATTGCAGATTAGAACACCTCAAATAATTTCAAACCTAGTTGGACTTATGGTGATAACATGAAAACTTATATTTAGAATGGAATATTACTTGTCTGCATAAAAAGGGAACAGTCCTGTTATGAACTTAGAAAAATGGATATCACTCAGTCCCTCTTACTTATTTGCAGTTAAGACATTCTTTAGTCAAACAATATGACTCACAGTCATCACTAATTAAAGTAATTTAAAACAGTAAAGCAATACATAATAAGTTTCCTAATTAAGATCACATATTATTTCATTCTTTAATGCTAAGCAAAGGCAAAGGCAAAATAAATAGACTATTTAATTGTGACAACTGTTAAATTTGATTGTTACATGTGTAATTTTGTTATTAATTTTTATTTGTTATTTTTTGGTTTGTGTGTGTTTGCAGATTAATGGTAATGTAAGATAAGTAAAGTTATTAATTTTATAAATGTTTCTCATCTGTATTGTAGGTGAGTCTGGTTGAGCGTTTATGTGAGTATTGTTTAAGTTGAGGTGTGGCTTTACACTGTTGTTAATGTTAAAACTGTAAGCAATGTTTGTCTTTGAAATGTACCGTTAATTGTTTTTAGAGGGTTGATTCATTCAATTGCTATTGAACTGGTTACCTATTGATACTAGTTACTTATTGAAAAGTGTAAATTGTGAAATTGAAATGAACATATTAGTCCAAGTGATGCTCTAGCATATTCAGAGTCACATGAAAAGTCACCTAGTTGACATGATTTCATGGTCTTATAGAGTAAGTGAACTTCTTGTTATTATACTGACTTCACCTAAGGAGTTTTGTCTTAAAAAACATGGTCAAAAGGCCATGGAGACTCTGTTTTATAAGCCAGCCTTGTTTTCATGCCAAGTGAGAGCAAGTCTAGTTTTTACATAAGAATTTAGTGCAAATTTATCTTTTTCAACAAAAACATGTTCATTCTTCCCTTGAGATGATATGCAAATGTTTGTAAATGAAAGTAAAACTATAGTAATTAGTACTTTCCTATATATGAGTGTTTTTTGCATATTCAGAGTCACAGTCAGTCATGTTACATGATTCATGATTTTTTTGAGTGAGCAAACTTCCTGCTAAGAAACTGACTTCACATTAGAAATTTAGTCATAGAAAACATAGTCAAAAGGCAAGGGAACTCCTTTTTATAGTCAGCCTCATTTTCATGCTGAACAGTAGTTTGTCCACGAAAACACCTTAACACAAAACTTATACCACAATTTGACTTCACAAACTACTATCAAACCTTTTCTAACTTTTGGGTTGTTCAAAACCTCAATTTTCCAGTCATGGCTTCTAGACTATAATGATGATGTCTTTACCTGCCATTTTCCTCCCGAACTGCACAGACACAAGGCAGAGAAGTGCCTTGAATATTGAAAAGAATCGCTGATTATTCTACTTAAGTTTATAACCTTCTCATCTTGTGTATAAATCAACTCTCTTTTACTTGAAATGTTGTGACTAATGGTTATCTGAGCATTATTAGTAGAATTAGAAGAATGGAAAAGGTTGATTTTGGTGCAGTCCTGTGAGTGAAGTGGGGAATGTGGTTATCATATAAATAGATAGGAATAAACAATAGAACAGTTTCAGGGGTCAGACAAAAGTCTAGCTATATGCTTCTTACATGCTTTGATTACTGGATTTCTCATTTTTAAATGGGGTCTAGTTCAATTAGTTTCAATGTGAACAAATGTGTTGAGGAAAGTTGGCTTGGTGTTGGTGCGGGAAATATATCATTTCTCCCTCTTTGCTCTCCCATTTTTCCACTTGTTTACCCCTTCAGATTGTTAAAATACAGTAATGTTTAATTCAGCCACAATTAACACAGACAATACACAGTCATCATTCCCAGTAAAACATGTATTTTAGTGATAAGTGAGTATATTCCATCTCTTGGCCAATAAAGGATGGTATTACTACCTATTTTTCAACATTCCTTCAAATTACCCCACCATTCAAATATTCAAACAGTTATGCAGTTTAAAAAAGATTTCAAAGCTCTTAAAAACTTACCTTTGTGTGGATTTTAATTTTAATTAATCCTCAGGCGTTTGAACACTTCACCCGGAATGGTTTGTCTAAGCAATGAGAAACCAGCCTTTTATTTCGAGGAAGGAGTTAAAAGAAGAGTGCCTCAATAAAGAAGTGTTTTTGTTCTTTGGCCATCCTTTCGGGAAACTTTCTGTTATACATACATGTATATTTGATTTTTATTTTAAATAACTTTTGACATAAATCCCAGTGTCAGGTAGCAATTAAGACCCTCCTCTATGCTCCTCTGATTGACATGCTGTGGGATTGGTAAACCTCAAAGTATTAAGTTTTATACATCTCAACTAATTCCTTGATTTCAGTATATGTCACAAATGTTACTTTTACTAAAGCATGAAACTCCTCAACCTCTTCAAGCTGTAATTGAATAACTTACAAAGTTGGATGTACATGTGACCTCAACATACCAATAAGGCAAAACAATATGTCATTGGTGAAAACAGTAGAAACTTCACTTAGATGATGGGGTTTCTTAGGGACCAGTTGCTAAAATTTTTGTGTTATGTTACACAAACTTACATGTAGATAGTTATCATGTCTGTGCCTTTCCATGCACATGCAATGATCCAAGTAATGTCCACTGAGTTAGAATTATAATAATTAACAACTCAAAACTATTTGTGTTGAACTCTTTTTAGAGGGATAAGAAGTTTTTTGATCCTGGTGGCTGCATGGCTGAAAATCATAGTCCTGCCAGAAAAAAAAAACAAACATCTAAGAAATATGGTGAATACAAAGTGAGTCAGATAACATTTATTCAGTATGAGTTAATTGATTAAATATTTATGGCAAACTTTAACCCTTTAACTCCCAATATCTCCTTTATCTCTGTCATACAGTTCTTGTGATTTTGGTGTGGAGAATTTGGGATTGGATCAATTTATAATCCCCTAATTTATATTTTTCTCTATTCTCAACACTTGTCTGCTTAATACTGTATTGATATTGTAAGGAGAAATTCTGTCTGGTCACTCATGGGAGTTAAAGGGTTAATCTTATTTAGAGCTACCTTCAGTCTTAGCTGATTTAGCAGGTCAGCTCTGAATCATAACAACTCCCTTAATTTAGTACCAGACCAGTCTGGACAGACAGGTTAAGTTATGGAAAGAACTACCAACTGAGGCAGACCTATTGTTGCACGGTGGTCAATGAGGCCGGTGTGACTAATGGTAAACAACTTAAGACTCATTCAGAAATTGTTAATTTGATTGCAATTGATTCAAGTCATTTGGGTTCAATCAATGTTGGCTTATCTTTGCAAACTTTAATTACAGTGCTTTACATTTGTATGGCAATTATACATTGCATCAGTTATCGTAAATCAAAATGTCAAACACACAAGGTAAAATTCCCTCATGAGGTAAATTATTATTTGTTAGAAGTTTAATGGTCTTTGGATATGCTCTGATCTTATGTGTCAATCAATTCAAAGCTTCATCATCCCCCCTATAGCAACTTTCCCAGGCATTTGAATTTTGAAGATTGATTTGTTCAAATTCCCACCCTCCCTTGGTTAAAAATTGTATTCAAATGCCCCACCCAAGTGCCGGTTTTGATGGTCAATTTTTTTTTTCAAACAGAAAAATCAGCAACCGTGACTTCCTACACATTGACTAAGCTTTAAAACCTCGACCTTGTAGACCATTTTCTTCAGAGCCTTATGCTCGCCAAAGTGAACTATTTACATTTAAACACCCTAATATTTGAAGTTATAACACTTTCATTCTGCTGGAAAGACTTGACAGTTCAAGTTCAAATTCCCCACCCCAGCCAGGCAAGGTTCAAATTCCCCACCCCAGCCCGGCAAGGTTCAAATTCCCCACCCCAGCCCGGCAAGGTTCAAATTCCCCACCCCCTAGGCATGGACGATGGTCAAATGCCATGGGTTGCCCAGGGCATGGGTGGGATGTTAAAACTTAGAATTGATCGGCCTATTAAATGCTAAAGAAAAAGGAAAATTCTTAGAATGCCAATACTATTCGTCAATATTTGTCAATTTTTCCAGGAAGAGCCATGTAGCACACAGTTGTCTACAAAAGAAAACCATGTTAATGGAAGAGATAACAGTGAATCTGAGGGAGCAGTGACAGCTAATGGAAGCGCTATTTTGAGCAAGGAAAAGGCAGGTTCTTTCTTTAAATTAAGATTTATTAATTATGAATTCTTGATTGTCTCTTGGGCATTGTCAATCTCTTTTGGAAGTAAAATTTTTAATTGTGAATCGCCTTGTATGTGTGCCTAATATTTTTCAATGACTTTGGACAGGCGTATTATACCTACCTTTGTGGATGGTGTGATGCTCAAGCTTACATGTAATTGCCTCTAGGAGCTTGTTAAGCTACGAAGGCAAGTAGCTGTGACTACTTTTGTCATACCTTTACAAAAGAAACTGAAGCCCTTTAGTTGTACTTTTGAAGGATTGTTTGATCTTTTGCTCTACGATTTAGAGTGACTGAATTGAATAGGGTAATTAAGTATTATCAACTCAGTTGATAACGCAAATTAGCCGCCATGAAAAGTTTCGATGCTGACGTTTCGAGCGTTAGCCCGTCGTCAGAGCGAAATTTTGCTTATAATTACATTACCCTGTTATACTCGCCCACCGACGCAGCACCACAGTTTGTTTAGAAACTTACCCCTTTCATGAATTGAAAAATCAAGCCAACAGTTGAAAATCGCAATCCTCGATTTCTACCCGATTCAGTAGTGAAAAAAGACTCTTAATCGTGATATAAATTATTAAACGTTTCATTCATCATTAATACCGCAATGAGCGATGACATCTTTTACAAGAAATAAGTTATCAATCGGTCATTCTGTCTACTATTATGGGAATTTATATGATATGTGGTTAATGTGCACAGTCGCACTTCTTTAATAAACCTATATCAATCTCACTCTCTCTGTTTTACTTTTCTTTAACCATCTGTGTGACTTTTTTATCCTATCGATGAGAGCCTCTCTTAGGAACCTAGCTAGTCACTTGTGCCTGGATAGTACAGCGCGGTGCTAGTTGGGTTCAAGCTCTGCATAGCGATTTATTTCATGCCATAGACGCTTGAGCTCAAATTTTGTTTTGCTTTCAGTTTCACCAGTGGCTCCCAACTTCATTGCCCAAATTAATGCTTTCAAAAATTTTTAACTCTGTTAAATAGCCAAAAGACGTAAGCTCCAACGAAGACAGCGGAGAACTCCAAGTAGATGAAGGTTTGCAAGCCCCTTCTACAAACAGAAAGGTGAGTTCTAGTAAAGCAGCAGCTGTATATGGCTATACGAATTGTATGCCTCCTAATCCTACCAGATAATTTTGGTTCCTCTCTGTCAACTAATGATTTTAAATCCGAAACTGAAATCACTTTGATGCATCCCCTTTGTTAGATATAAATTTAAGAGGCTGAAATGACAGCTGTGTGGTTCACCTTTGACTGATTGAGCGAATAGAAGGACGGGCCAACAATGAAAAGATGGATGGTTTGTAACAACTATACAACAGCGCTTTCTCGAACACTTCGCAGCGGCTCTTTGGTTTGTTCCTTTTTCCTGATCAGAGATGAGAAATTTCCTTACGTATTATTACCAACCCAGTGCTCCCACCAAGTTTTTAAGGCTAGGAAAGGATTGATTTTTTCATATAGTAGTAAAAAGAAAAAGGTCTTGTTTGGTGGTAAGTTATTTACTAAACCCTGCTTTCGCTTATTTCCGATTTATGACAATTTGCTGGTAAACAGGCGCCGGTCTCTCCGATTTTACGCGATCTAGTTCCCCCCCCCCCTTTTTTTTTCGAGTAATAGAGTGAAACAAGGAACACAAACACTGATAAACGAGAAGGAGTTCTATCACTCATTTGTGTTAGAAGAAATCAGCCACTGTTCCGTCTTAAAGCTAATAAGAGAGCAGGATACTTGTTCCACTTGTCACTAGGTAGGGTGTCCGACCGACGAGACTCCCTTGACGATACTCCCTTGACTCCCTTAGAAATCCTCAACATCTTCGGAAGCCTCCCCGATTTTCAATCCTGCTATCTGATTGATCGCGACACCCATATCGGGTCACGTGGCACAATCCTTATTCTCTGTCTCAATGGTAACTACAGCAATAAGAGTCAATCATTTCTTGTGCATTTTGTTTATGTCAGTACTTTGCTACTCTCTGTCTTTTTTCTCACATATTTTGAACGAGAAGCGTCAAAACTTTAAAGACCTCGGTGGCTCACAATCCCTTTTTGTCAGCGACGAGGTCAGTTACATACAAGCCTTTGCCTCTATTTTTTGCGTTCGCTTTACCGTGATTTAAGACAATGATAATTCTGAGCAACAGTAACCCCAACTGGTCATCAGTTGACTGTTTTTGGGGTAGGGGAGTGGTAGGTGCGTAGTTACTTAGATACTGAGATTGATTCACCACTTCAGTTTCATATCTCAGTTGGTCGCCCCGGAAAGCTATTCTTCATGACGATTGTTTGAATTACAGCTGGGCATCAGCTATCTGTATATTAAACCCTAGCCTTCACACTTGTTTTGGTAGAAGACTGTTTTCTTGATACTAAGCATGGCTGTTACTTGTTCTGTTTGGCAGATGCATTCGGCCTCGTTCATAATGAGCGGTCTGAAAAATGAAATGTTTTATTAAATTTTCCAGCGTAGAAAGAAGAATCTTATAACTTCTGTTGTTTTCGTTGTGGCTGTTTTTGTTGTAGTAATTTATCATTAATGTTTTGTTTTAAAAAAAACTGATCTTTAAACGTCGAATTTTACTTAAGAGAAATTTAAAGGTCATCCTGCCGCACCTTCGACCTTTATTTGCATAAGACCGTAAAGTTTGTTTGCGAATTGCAACCAGTCTTTGCCGAGCCGTACGTTACTTCACTGTACAATTTGCATTTATAAGTGTCTCAAACCGTGTCTCCTCTCATTTTCAGGAGAGGTCACTTTCATACCATGAAGTAAACACAATGAATGAATTTCAGTATTTATCGCCTGGTAAGGACCCCCTCAAGCCTGAAGAAGTCAGCATGTTGAAAATATTTTACAGATTTTTGACGTCATCGTCGAGTGCAACAGATGGCAATAAGAATGCCCTGAAAGAAATTGCATTGCCGAGAGCTACAGGAGCTTCCACAGGATCTGAGATACGTAGCAAATGTGTACATTCTACTTCTGAATTATCATGCTGCGAAGCACTAAGCATGGAAATTGAGAACCTCAAAGAGAGAGTTACACAGAATGAAGATTTTCGACGGGGAGTGGTTCAGGAGGTGAGAGATCAGCGTAAGTTCGTTCAGTCTCATCAAAATGACATTTCCCTGCTCAGGATTGAAATTGCCACCATGCAGCAAGACCTTGTTGACTTGCAAATTGAACACAACCGATTAAACGACGAAGTCAAACGTCTTCTTGTCTTAGAAGATCCATTTCGTATTCGCCACGATCTTACAAATTTAATAACAAGTATAGAAGTAACCCAATTTAAGATGCAAAGATTGGAGAACCGATCGCAGTCTCTTGAGACAATGGTCTGTCGGCTAACCGGCAAAATAGAGAAGTTACTCGTGCCTTATGGACCTGATGTGGTACAGAGTACCCCATGAGTTATGCAAAATAAAGGGCAATTTAACTTAGTTTTTAGAATAGAAGACAGTGCAAAAGTGTTAGCTGCGTGAAAAGTTGAAGTCCAAATGTACATAGTAAAAGGAAGTATAGGCAAAAGTAAATTGAAAAGGCAAATGATGTAATTAAGCAAGAAGGAGATCTCGCTGCATGCGCTTTTAATCTGCTGAAAAATAGGTTGAACTCCCGAATGATAATGTTCGGCTTGTTAAGGAATGCCGGCTTTTTTCTTGCAAAAAAAGGATATTTTTTATATTTGGCCTGTGGTAAGAGATGAGCAGTGAGGAGATAGTGAGTGCATCGTGACTAAATTAGCTAAGTCTCCCTCTAATTAGTGTGTATCAGATTGTGTTATCAATACAAAAATGATACAATAGCACACAGTGAATCGCATGTTAGAAGTTTGTGCGTAGGTCTAATTAACTGTGTTAGCTACTGTATTTTATTTGGCATGATATGAAATAGTTGTGTATTGCCCTAAGTGATACACCTTAATATAGAATGTCCAACTTGTCCAAAGTATTTTTTTGATTTGCACTCTCATCGTTGGCATGTACATGGCGTGTGCAAATATAATATATTTTGTTTCCTAGTGAAATTGTGTGTATTTATGTAGAAATATGTAGTATTTGTTTATTGTAGTGGTTTTTTTTTCTGTTTTTATAGCTATTTATCCTTTTTTCATGAATAGCCATTAAATGGTCGAGTCGATTGTAGACCCTAATTAAGTAATGAGTCAGCTTAAAGTTGCAGAAGTATTTTAAAGATAAGTTATTCAAACTATTATATAATCCAGCTTAGTTAACGCAGTTGTTATTATCTTTGATAAGAATTTATATACTTGTTTGAATATTTTTTAAATTTTGGATATAAACTGCTTTGTACTATTCTAGTTGTAATGAGAATCAGTACAACTTGTATTCTGCAAGGAATTATACTAAATATTTTGGAATTCCTCTAATTCTTTATCGTCCTGGCTGGGCGTAAATAAACTATGATGTTGTTGTTTTGTAACCTCGTTTTAACACCAAGCTTAAAAGCGGAGCTCGCATTTTTTTTCTCGCACGTCTCAAGAGCACAACACCTTGCCCCGGCCAGGAATAGAACCCGGGTCGCCCGACTCGGAGCCCAGTGCACTGACCACTGGACTACTGAATAAAGCCGTAGCTTTGGCGTGCCCGCGGCACGGTTGACCACGCATGTTAAAAGTAGCACCTTGTACGGTCGTACGGTCGTACATCCAAATTTTTCCGGCTTGATGGGTTACTACTATTTTGTATAATTATGGGGCTACGCTCTGCGAGCTCTGCTATTAAGTAATCAGTTGATTTCAAACATATTTTCCTGTTTGTTGAATGTAGTTTCTCTGTACAGTATAAAATATTGCGATTAGTTTTCTTTGATAAGATGTATAGATTTAGTAGAGTATTAAGTTAGGGGTAGCCTTTTAATGAAAGGGTTTGTAATTCTTAAGGTGTTGGAATTTAATGTTAGAAATTAAAGGTAAGAGAAAACATACACACCTCAAATGCCTGACGTTTTAATTTATAAACGAACTACTTTTTTTCTCAGGGTTTTGTTACTCATGTTTCTATTTCGATAATGTTTTTGCAATACATGGTGTACTAGGAAATTCAGCTGAGGATTTATATTCTTATGTCTAAATAATAACCTACGTTTGGCACGAAATATGCTCGGATAATTGGGTCGGGCCTTGATTTTTTTCAAACCTTGTGGAAAGTACCATCTTCCGAGAGACATCAACCTGTTGATCCGTGATGAAAGAAAGTCAGGATAAGGGAAACTCGTTAGATTCTTTGAGCTTATTGGATGCCGGTAGGTGTGATGTGATGCAATGCGATTCCTTAAGTTATGAGATCAAATGTGATTTTAGTCCACAATTGAGGGCATTAATCGCACAATTATTGAACCCCTCTAGGATAAAAAATATGTTATCAAAAAAAGGAAAAAATGAAAGTCAAGTTTCGAAGAAATATGTATAAAAAAAATAGTCGAAGTGTCCCGAATAAACGACCCTCAGCTATGGAATCAACTCTAGAGTGCGACCTTCATAGGAGTATTCACAGCCTGCTGAGTCGCACATCTTCATCGGCTCCTAACAACACTCTCTTTCTACGCTACACGTATGAAACGATTAACGAGTGAGAAGCGTGAGGTGACCTTTCCGAAGTCTCTCACTTTTATTGCTCTGACTATCACGCCTCTGACTAATTGAATTCCTGGGACAGTTAGGCTAACTGGCGCCGGTTCAAATAGAGTCCATTCACGTTTTGAACATTTTTCCTTTATCTTTTTGGGAGTGTTCTTGTGGTGGAGTCTATGTAATCACTTCCAACCCCCAAATAGAGTCTCTAGAGAGAATTAAGGGGGTGAATCTTGTCTCACTTCCATAATGAAACTTGCCCAACTTTGCTGAACCCACTAAGGCCTTCTCTCGGTTCAGTTTAAATGGCTCACTGAGGCACACAAGCCTCCTTGCTACGACCAGCGAAGTGGCACGGACGGAACGAACTGAATAGGAAATTTAATTTTCGCTATTAATAAGTATTTGCCATTTGCCGCTGGCAAAGGTGTCATCGAAATGGACAAGATAAACGTCATCCACTTTATCTTAAATGACAGTGACTGAGACGGTGTGCTGGAAAATGACCCTCCTCCTAAACTCTACTCCCATAATAAATCTCTAACGAAAACTTTAGACTGAAAGTAAAAGGAAAGCAAACTTTTACGTTTAGGGCATATCCTTTATCCGGGTAGACTGACGGCAACTTTAGAAAATACCTTTGAAAAGGAGAGAATATTGATTCGAAAATTTATTCAAAAGACACGACATAGGCATTATGGGATAGGGGAAAACCCCTAATATTTATAGTGATGTGCACCACAACCGAAGGAAGCAGGGACATTGACCTTTGAAAACGTGACTTTCCTTTATCTTCACCTCAGCAGCTACAAAATCGACTCATTTTTAAGGATTATTGACCTAAGAAGCTTCTCCCGTGTAATCTGAAGGTAATTACCGGTCATTGCAATAGCACTTCGGTTTAACCTTATGGACTTCGGTAAAACACAAGATATCAGTATTTCTAAACTACTTGACATTGTAAACGTAAGGAAATTTATCACCGATATCGCGTAGTAGTGTTCATTGATAGTATTGGGTAGGAACGTATATGCTGTCATGTTTGTCAATAGCCTTCCACTCGTAAGTTTTTGTTCGCGTGTTGGGTTTACCAGCGAGTAAGGAAGTCACGCTATTTGCAATCCCCGGAAATCATGCATCAAAAAATTGCGCAACACTATTAAAAACAGGGAAATTTTAGCTGTCAAGGTAAAATTTATTTTGTTCACGAAACCATGATAGGACTTCAACAGACATGAAAATAATAGGCATAGAGTAATTTCTTTGATTTTGCCTACTTGGTTTACACGATTGTAAGAGAAACGCGAGGCATTCATTAAACAGTATTTTCTTAATCCCTTAAAGGGGCTGTTGATTACTTCACCTGGTTCTCCTGATCCCTCTTTGTTTTCAAAAATGATAAGTCAAGCCATCCAGGGACGAATATATTGCTACTACTGAAACAGTTGAAAGCAAAGAAAATTAGCGAGCATGACTATAAAAGAATTTATGTAGTTTTTAATGCCTATTTTTTTTTCTGGCTCACCGAACTAACCTGAAATTTATGATTTGTTAACTTTGTGAATAACTATGAGAGCAGTAAAATAAATAGCTAAGTTTAAAGTTTTATCTTGATTATTAGACAAATTGATTGAAGACTTTCTTGTGCTTGTCGATTTTAACATATCATAGGCAAGAACATTAAAATAACTATAGCACTGATAAAACAAGAGCATGCAGTATTGTCTTCCTCCTGTATATCCTCTTTATATATATCCATGTCACCACTTGAGCTATTCTAAAAGTAATGCACCAAATAAGTTGAAAACATCTACTCAGACTAGCATCGTCAGTGATCTATTTTGATCTACACATATTGAAAATGAGTCCACTTTCTTTCTTTTTTCAAATTGACAACTGTTACCCTGTTGTAAGTCAGATTATAATTAACTGGAACATGGTTGCTATTGTTCTGTTTCTAATTAATATGTGTAACTAATAGAGTGTTTCCATCACATGAGAGTGAGACCTTCTCTATGAAAAGTAATTGTTCCACCAATCTGTCTTCCTCTAATGACACAACATCGCACTGACTACAACTTCATTCAATGTCAGTCCTAGTACTTTGTGTGCTGTACTTGTTCATGCTAGTGTCATAGGAAATTGTAGTCTTTGTAATTCTGGTGAAGATTGTTTTCCTGATCTGACTGTAATTCTAGCTAATACTGGTTGAATAGGTATACAGCACTGTTTTCTCCAGCATAGTTATCTGTACTTCTAGAGCTTTTACAACAGCTTGAGAGTCATCAAACTTTAGATAGACAACACATGTGTTGTTTTTATTTTGGTCAAGAGCAATTTTTGTTACAGTACCCATTTGTCTGTTAATAGGTCTATCATTTACCAGGTATACCTGGCAGTTAACGTCACTCTAGAATTAATTTTTATCAAAACTTGAGAGTCAAGTCTACCAGTTTCTGATCTTCCCCTTGCTATATAATACTCTATCAATGTCTTGTTTTGTGACATTTGATGGGTATTGATCTACAGCTTCAAGTCTAATGTAACAGTGTAATTAAATTCTCAAGATGCACATTGTTATGTTCAACTTGATTTACAGGAGCATTTTCAGGAAAAAGATATGCAATATGGGTGTAATTAGCATCTTGTTATGATGGGTATAATTAGCATCTGTTGAAAATGAGGTCTTTGACTGGATGACTTTATCGTCTTCTTCAGTTTGTGAAGCAGTTCTAAATCTATTCAATAACTCTGTAAATGGTTGGTCATCTTTTTGTCTCATAATCTCAGTTAACTCTTTCATTTTCAGAAGATTCCACAGATGACATAGATCATAAACATTATTTTTATATTCATCAAACACAAGTTTTCTTGAATTCGTGGAAGTTGATACATATCACCCACAACAATTATTACTCTTAATCCTGCAAAAAGTTGATTTCTTGGGGTAGCAAAAATTTATTTTTGTCTCTGGTGGATATGTAGCAGAGTAGTGTTTGATACCATGGAAATTTCATCAATGATTATTAACCTTGATTCTGATAGTCAGACATTCTTATTTGTGTTCGCTTTTGGAATGACATTAGAACATTGTCACCTGTTTCTTTTGGTATTGCTAAAGCAGTATGAATTGAAAGGAGCTTACACCTGTCTGATCCATCACGAGTACTGTTGGTTGTTCTGTATTGTTAGTGACATGTCTAAAACTTCTAGTTGTAGTATGATATATCGTATTAATAAGATGAGATTTGCCAGCTGCCCCAGTTACAAATTTGATATTTGGTTATTAAATGATTAATTTGAGCCATTGCTATCATTTTGTATTTGTGACGGTAGATCATCATTTTCTTGGTCATTAATTGCATCATATGAGTGAAGTACACTGTGAATTTGTTGCTTCTTAACAATTCAAGTGCTTCTACAACTGCCTCAGTATCAGTGGTTCAAATTAATGTTTCTATTATGTTGTACCACATGCAGTCTGGACTTCATGCAGGCTCATAGAATTTAGACATGTAATTCTGTTCATTTCCAAGAAGTTCACTCACTCTCTTCTCTCCAAGGATAGTAAAGCATCAGATGATGATGAAAATATTTATCTGGTTCTTCTAGTTATTAAAAACAGGTTGCAAGTCTACATTGGCAGCAAATCCCTTTAAACCAGCAATGAAGTAGTTGTTGACGAAACAGCTGTCTATTGGTCTTCTAAGATGTAGTTCATAGTTAGAGTCAGGAGATATAGGCAAAGCACTTTTATATTCATCACTAGTACAATTTCAAGTTGTTCAAATATATCATGTGGGGTTAAGGATGGATCATAATCTGCCTTGCTTGGATTTAGAGACTGGTCTATTTTTTTGTTTTATCAGACTAAGTATGTCTTCTTTTCATCAATATTTGTTCCTTCATCTCTTCGTCCATGTCATCTGGTAAAGGTTCTCAGCTACAATAGTTTTTTTCTGTGAAAAATTGGCCAAAGTTAAAATCCTCTGTTATCCTTTACAAGCATATAACAATTATTTTTCAAATACTATTTGCTGTGCTATTATTATTTGTTCTAATTTTTTATGATTCAAGCTGAGTTGGAACATCATCCACATATAAATCGTTTGCAACTGCTTGACGTGGGAGCCTGTCTTTCATGGCTTTAGAGTGGAAAGTCTTACAATGTATTTTTTTCCATCAAATGAAGTTTGTATGCTAAAGATCCTGACAGAGATAACTATTTGTAATCAATTTTAAGACTGATTTCCTATAAGTGCTCTATTACAAACACAACATACATAGTATGGACCTTCCCTTCTTTCTTTTTGAACCGTTGAATAAATTAGTCTTAAGTTATATTCTTATCTATGTTTCTTTGCATCTCTCAAGCAATTCTTGTTTTCTTAAAGGATCCATTGTTTTGTATTTTTGTGCCTGTTTGTTTAACAGGTCTTGTTTCTTACCAGTATCCACTATTTTGTCTTTTTCTGCTTGTTTGTGTAATAGATCTTGTTTCTTAGCAAGTCCATTATTTTGTATTTTTCTGCTTTTTTGTTTAACTGGTCATTTTTCTTCTGAGCACAATGCATTGTTTTGTATTTTTTAACTTTTTCAGTTTTTATCATGTTTGTTTGCTGTATCCCTTATTTGCTGTTTATCTAATAACATTTTCTTTTTAGATGGTTCTATTGTTTCATAGTGTTGTTTATTTCTCTGAATTTTCATCAACTTTTTTCTTTCATTTCTATCAACATTTTTACATGAACATGTTACAAACTGTATTGTGTATTGTCCTGAAGATCTATGTTCACTTTGAATTTGGCAAATAAATCAAGAAGTGAAGGTATACCATTTATGCATTTAGTGAACTGAATTGGTGGTATGTGACTTTCATTGCATACACTAACAAAGAATAAAGATACTTTGATCTATTTGTGCATTTTAAGATACAAATGATACAAAAAGATTCAAAACTCATAAAAAACCCTGTATATTCATTGTTTAGAATACTATCTTCAAGAATTGATTTGCTTTGTAACGTACATGACAATACTTCACAGTACTCATTTGAAACTAGTAAACTTACTTCATTTCCACAAACGTCAATTGTTTTTGGCAAGTCATTAGTTGAAAAATTTTCTTTTACAGATAGAAGATCACACAGCCTTTTGTCATAGTTTACAATAATAGATAAAGTACTGGAATTCCAATAGCTGGATGATTTTATTTGAGAATAACAGATAGAGTAAATGGCTACAGAACAACTTTGATTGAACTCTTTAATTTCACACATAGTGTTTTCACAAATTATGCCATTTTGAACCTCATTGATTTTCACCCCTTTTACCTTGAACATGTCATTGTTATGTATACTCTTAAAGTATTGTGCCAAGCTATTCAATGATGATACTTCTAAAAGCACAAAAGTACCTTGGGGATGTCCTCTACCTTATAAATCTCTTGCATGAGGATCAAGTATTTTAAATCCCATGTCACCTTTACAATAAATAGCAACAGCAATGCACCCAACTGTTAATATGAAGTTTTTGTAGTCTTCAGATATCAGTGATTCAAAAGCTCTTTGCAAAGAACAATATCGATAGCATCGTATAGTTGCTTTCTTACTTCGTAACTGAAAATGTATACTTAGCGCATGCACTTTACTTGCTGGACTACATTTTGTATCTCAAGACAGAAAATAATAATGAAGCCCAATTTATAACTCGGGCATTCCACAGGAAGCCCGAGTAATAAACCTCAATGTTTCTTGTTTCTAGAAACATTAAAGAAACTGATAATTAACCTATCAAGCAAAATGATATGTTTAAAACGAAAACCCAAGGCAACCCATGAGAGGGTGTAGTCTCAACATGTGTTGCATTCTAATGATATGGAGGGCAAGACTTAATTATGGGCATACTCCTATATTCTTCAAGAAAATTGTTTGAAAGAATCATCCTCCCCAAAGGAGATCCTAATTTATTGTTTAGCATAAATACATGTTGTAATGTGAAGGGGAGGGGGGGGGGAGAGGAAGGGGAATGATGTTTCTGTTTGGGTGACATTAACCTTGGTCTGGGTAAGAAATGCAGTTTTGATAAGGTTGATCTTAAGAGAAGTTACTTTGATTTTGATTTGAAAATTATAATCAGTTTTATTCAGTAGCACTAACCTTACCAAGAGGATAATAAAGGTTTGTTCAAGTTCATAATATGAATTAATTTTGTTATTTTACAGAGGAGATTTCATTCATTCAGGTCTATATATGACTTCATACCTTGCAAGAACACAAACCCTTAAAGAGGAAAAAGTAAGCTGTCAGCTATCTTCTAAATTTAAATGGCTAGCTCTAGTATTATACTCACAAGGAAGTAGTGGACTAATTTAAGACAATGTGATGTATTTCTAGTTAAATCTGTTTCTTTACCCCACACATGTACCTATATGTTTGCCCAATTTAATTCCCTCTCTTGAATTCGAAGCAAGAAACCAATCCTTTCCAAATTTATCCCCACTGTCAACCTGACCAGCCTAAAAAACTTAACCCTTTACCTCTCATGAGTGATTAAGAGAGAATTTCTTCTTACAATATCAATACAATATCAAGCATAGAAGTGATAAGAATAAAGTATAATATCAATTAGGGGATTACTAATTGATCCAATACCAAATTCTCCAAATTTACATCATAAGAATTGTATGACAGACAGTAAGGAGAATTACTAATAAGATCTTGGGAGTTAAAGGGTTAAACATGCAACCTTTATACTTTCCAATTCAACCTCACACCTGAGCCTCTCCAATCACCCACTGAACTTACCAAATCATCTCACTAACCTCTTAAACCTTGACAAACTTGACAATTTCATTTGAGATTATTAGACTAATTAAGTGTGAAATTGATGTGGGTTTTAGTTGAGCTGATGGTTTTGTACCCCAGTTTCAGAATTCAGGCAATATGATGTGCTCCCACGACTTCCAATCAACCTCACCAGACTCACCAATCCTGCCAACCTCACTTAATGCATTAGCGACCTCACCAGCCTAACCACAACTTCAGCAACCCAACCAACCTCACCAGTCTCACAAACCTAAGCACACTGTAATCTCAGTTGTATTTACATAATTAACCTCACCGGCCCCACCAACAAGCATCATCTAACGTCACCCTCCCAACCGACCTCATCAGTCTTATCGACCTCACCAACTTCATTAATACTGACATTATCTCACCAGCTTCACCACAACCTCAGAAGCCCAATTAACCTCACTACGGTCACCAACCTTTAACCCACATCACTAACCTCACCAGACTCACCAACCTCACCACAAACTGTGCAACCTACCCTCACAGACCTCACCAATGTAAACCCAACAAAACCACACCGACATCAACATCCTCACCTACTTCACCAACATCACTGACGTTACAAACCTCACAAACTTCACCAAACACCACATTAACACCACCAGCTTCACCAGTACTTCTCCAACCTCACCAGTATTACCAATCTCACTAACTCACCAACCTCACTAACCCCACGAACCTCGCCAACCCCACAAATATAATCAAGACCTAAATATAATCAAGTCCTAAATGTAATGACATTTGGTCCTAAATTTAATAAGCCTTTAATGCAATTGTTTAACTGCGCTAGTGCATTGTTGTTATAGCAGACATTCACATTGAGATGTGAAGTGACAGTTGTTGCACCAAAGAATCCTCTGAACAATATTCATGGCATATTGTGGGCTCACTGATATTAAAATTAGCATCTTTTATTTGCTTGAGACGTAGGTCGAGAAGCATTGGCTGCAAACCCTTATACTGATGTGCTTTTGGCATAAAATTGACGGACGTCAAAACAATGCGAACACTGACCAATACTTCTCTTTATATCTTTGAATCAGACTCTTAAGTGCAACAGATTTTGACGATATACCTGTGTGATCAGTGCTGAAGTCAACACTTTATGAACCAAATTACAAAGAAAAGGAAGTCCACTTACCTATACCTTAGACAAATTTGGGGCTCGAAAGTGCATTTTTTCTGCTGTCTTCTTTTGCCAGATTTGTATGGGTCTGCATGAAAGTTAAAGAGTTTATATTCTCTTAGCTTGGTCAATAAGGATTAAGTATATAGCAAAAATATTTCGCTGTAATAAGAATCAACAATGACTTGTTTATTTTGAGAGCATACGTGGTTGACTGACCAGACTTATCAACTATTCTTCAGACAACCGGTACACTCGTAATTTTTAGATCTAGATTTTAAGAACTGAGTTGTGATGAAATTAGATGAATGGATTTGAGAACTAGACCGAAATTTTAATTTCTCATATTCCTTACTTTCAGGACTTGAGGATGTTTCATCCAAAGGAAATGCAATGTGATAAACGTGACGAGGGTGATGAGCAATGTAAATTGACAGAAGAACCTCTGGAGAAAAAAAAGATCCGCAGTAAGGTAACCCTCCTCTAAAATAAGAGATGTCTGTAAATTATCCAGAGAAACTATATTTTTATTTTAATTTTTTGGGATTAAACGAAGGTTTATATATTGAGGGTTCTTCTCACTGTCAATCAAATGTAATGGGAAACCACTCGGCTCTCCGCAATTCTTTGGTCATCGCACTGAAAATAAGTCTTTTATATGTGATATTGGTTTTGCACGAAGTATTTCATCGAACTCGCAAGGAGGAAATTCTTAGGAGGCTATTACAAAAATGGAAAAGGTCAGAAGATAGCGTTGCAATGGAGTGAAATGCAATACAAAGCTCAAAATGGGAGGATTGATAAAGGACTGTGAATGCTCTATACGAGAGAGACCTTAAGAAAGAAAGACTTGAATAACAGCATGGAAAATAATTTTATTTGTGTATTTTGTATTCTAAGTTTTTGGTGAAACATTCATTCCTTCTTGTCTTAAAAAGGCTGAAGGGGAACACCCAGCCAATGAGAACAGTAACAACATCCTAACTTCCAACTACGAAAGTGAAGAGGTACACTATTTATACAAAAAAGCTACCATTTTTATTTTAATTAAACTGTTTTCTATTATGTCTCGTCATTGACCCTTCAACAAAATGGCGTCTGAGAAAGACAGACATCTTTACAGCTCAGGGCTATGCTTTATCTCCTTATGCAAACGTATGTGTTTTCTTCGGACGTGCATTGACATTAACTGAGTCTAAGACCATTTTTTGCCAATTCAATTTTTTTTTATATCGGTCGCTATTTTGTAGAAGGCTCTATTTTAAATTATGATCCATAATCGGGATTGGAGACCTTAAGGGGTGATTCAGCTTTATAATGGTGCGAACCACCGCCGTCTCTACCAACAAAAGACAATTAGTACCTATGCTTATTAGTACGAGAAGCGCTGATGTCACGTATAATTGACGCCTTATACTATGACATCTTTCAGTGGCGCATCGAAACGATAATTGTGACTGAAATTTAAATGAGATTCCTTTGTGCACTCTGCCAACCGTGGAAATAAGATAATTAAGAATTTTTTTAGGTGTTATGAATACTTTAGCATGATGATTGGGGACACTAAAATCGGGAACACTAAAATAATAATTACTGACTTGAGAAGAAACAAAATCGAGGTTGAGTGAAAGTACAGGCTGAGCAATAGAGAAAAATAAAATCGCAAATATTACAATTTAAAGCTACGATGTGCATTAAAGGCGGTCCGCTCCACAAACTTCACTCATTGTTCTCGACAGATCTAACTTTCTCACCCCAGTTTTAAGACTGCTTATATATAATTTACGTCTTACACATAAATTCGCAAAGAAAATCTATTACAATGTACACTGATTAGTAACTTTAATTGCACGCGGGACTAACTTTACTTCTTTAGAGAGATAACGAAAAGACACGAATGAAAGGCGTTTTAAGTGATCCTACACTAAACTACACTAAACTACTACACTTTAAGAACCTAGAAAACTCTCATTCCGAAGACTTTAAAATTGGTACTCAGAAAGAGAAGGAAGAGGGATGTGGATTAACAGACCAATCCTGGGTGGATGATACAGACTGCACTCAACTCGAAGGTTCGCCTGAACTATGCAGTGAGGTAAAATATTTGCCAGAAACAGTGTTGCTTAGCTAACTTGAAGGAGATAGGATTGTTCATCGTAACTTTTTTTTTTGGGCTCAAAATAAGGTACTTGTTCCAAGGCTACTTATTTCAGTCATTTACCTTCGATAGTTCACTTCCTCAAACCATGCCTTATTTCATTATTGTGGGAATATGGGAAAGTTTTTTTTAAAGTAACCTTGTTTTGAAACGGAATATCACGACTAAAGGTCGCGACCAAACTGCTTTTATTTGCCGATTTTGGATTGTGTTGTTTTCGTGAGACATTAATCTGTTTTTTTTTTATTAATATAGACTGAAGAGGAAACCCATTCCCATGAGGAAAAAGACATTTCGTCTCCTGGTTTCAATAACGAAGAGGTATGCAACATATGATGAACTTTAATCATATTTTTAACTGTTTTGAACTCCAAAAGTTTCAATCGTGGTTAGAGACTGTAAACCTCCACGCTTTGTTATTTTAATTTGTTATTTTACTTTGTTATAGATAATTTTTTGTATGCAAATATGCTTACGAATAAAATGTTACTCCTTTCTCCTAGGAGTTTGAGGATGATGAAAAGGATTGTAATCAACTTGAGAGTGGATCAATTGTATTTAATGAGGTAAAAATTATTAACAGTGTAAGGGACATTCTTAAGTTTTCCTGGTACGTATGTCCCTTCTTCAAATGATATGATTAGGCTCTCTGTCTGTTTTATTTACACATTGATCTGTTACTGTTGAGTGCACAGATCCATTAAGAAAAGAAGCTTTGACTCATTGCATAAGATTCTTTTCACTAAGTTTTTCAAGATATTTTTGTGCCACTTATTTTGTTTCATACTCTCCGAAGGGTTTAGGACATTTTATACCTTAGCTTGCGTCAGCACCAAAACAATAATAAAAAAAATGAAAATATTTGCAGCTTCAGTATTTGAATTTGGACGTAATTGTCAAGACTTGTTCGGGATTCACTCCCAAACAGTGAGATACTTGTGTAGGTAGTAAGCACAAGAATTGTCTTATTTTGTTTCGTCAATCTAGCTGTATGAGTTTGTGAAAAAGTAAGATATGTTGTTTTTTTGCTGTCACAGGGTCTTACCAGCGAATCGTTGCATATCCGTATGGCACTTCATGTTCAGAGTATCTTCAGCAAGTTATGGAACGCTTTTTTCACCATTTTGTATCTGTTAACTAAAGGTGCAGGTAAAAACAAGGACGCCCAGACTAAACCCCCTCCTTATGATACAAAAGTCTCCAAACCAAGCGATGGCCTGGTCGCCGACGTATCTTTTGCCACACTTAAAGATATGGACGTCTATATTAAGAAGCTTGAAAGAAGATTAGCTGACCTGGAGAAAATGACCAAAGAAATGGCCCAACTCGACTCGCGATCGAAGGAAATAAATAATCGCACAGAGAGGATGGAAGAGAAGTTGACCCAACACGATTTACAATTGATAGAAATGGAAAATAGTGCAAGGAAGATGGAAAATTATGGGGAGATAATAATGGTCCAACAAGATTTGCAGTCCAAAGAAATGGAAAAGTGGACAGAGAAGATTGAGAGGAAAATCTCCCAGTACGACTCACAATTGCAAGAGATAGATAATCGTGGAGAGATGATGAGGAATAAAATGGCCCAAAAAGATGTGCAGTCCAAAGAAATCATTCAACGGGCAGAGAAGATAAAGAGAAATATTGCCCAGCACGACTCACAATTGCAAGAGATAGATAATCATGAGGAGATGATGAAGAATAAAATGGCCAAACAAGATTCGCAGTCCAAAGAAATCGTTAAACGGGCAGAGAAGATAGAGAGAAATATTGCCCAGCACGACTCACAATTGCAAGAGATAGATAATCATGAGGAGATGATGAAGAATAAAATGGCCAAACAAGATTCGCAGTCCAAAGAAATCGTTAAACGGGCAGAGAAGATAGAGAGAAGTATTGCCCGGCACGACTCGCAATTGCAAGACATGGATAATCGTGGTGAGATAATGAAGAAAAAAATGGCCCAACAAGATTTGCAGTCCAAAGAAATGGGAAAGTGGGCAGAGAAGATTGAGGGGAAAATCTCCCTGCACGACTCGCAATTGCAAGAGATCGATAATCGTGGAGAGATGATGAAGGGTAAAATGGCCCAACAAGATTTGCGGTCCAAAGAAATCGTCAAACGTGCAGAGAAGATTGAGAGAAATATTACCCAGCACGATTCGCAATTACAAGATATGAATAATCGTGGAGAGATGATGAAGAAGGAAATGGCCCAGCAAGATTCCAAGTCCAAAGAAATGGATAAACGGGCAGAGGAGATTGAGAGAAATATTGCCCAGCTCGACTGGCAATTACAAGATATGAATAATCGTGCAGAGAAGCTGAAGAAGGAAATGACCCACTACGATTCGCAATTGCAAGAGATGGGTAACCGTTGTGAGTCAATGCAGGATAAAGTGGCCCAACAAGGTTCACAGTTTGAAGAAGCAAGTAATCGTGTTGAGAGGATGAAGAGGGTGCTGGCCCAACAAATGGATCACCTTAAAGAGAGGATGGAGAAGGGAATGCGAGAAGTAGGCGAAATAGTTAACAACCATTACGCCTTTATCTGCATTCAGGACCAGAAGACCGTCCATCTTCATAGTTACCTCAACAGAGTGTTACAACAGCACTTGATCTACTGGCGAAATGGTCAAACCCAATTACGAAATAGCTTAGATTATCTGAATGCGCGAATTGATACCTTATTCGCAATGTCTCCAAGTACACCGGCTGAACTGTAATGTTCTAGTCATCTAGTGAGGCATTTGCCACTATCATCATGTAGGCTGATGCTGCATGCTACATTGATTTCGTTGTTTTTTAAAATCAGTTTAAAATTTTTGCATGGCACAAACAGTGTGAGCCCTTTTTCTAATATTATGAGAATTCTTTGTTTTAGCTAAAACTTTATAGTATACTTATAAAGGAAAAAATGAAAAATGTACATAAAGATGGTCAAGACACTCCAAGCAATTTGATCAACAGTGATGGGTTTCCCAATAGATTCATGTTAAAAAATAATTGAGTGGCTTAGGGGTTTTGAGGAGAGTTCTGAAAGTCAGAGGACTATAGATGCTTCCAGAAAACAACTGAAAAGACCTTAGCAGTAAAATCAGGGCTTACTTACCACTTGCAACCAGCTCTCAAGGCTGGAACCATCAGTACATAAACAAAATTTGCGCAATGCATGTTGCATTGGATACACACGCCACTTGAAAAAAATATCATTGTGATTTCCAAACAAAGTGTTTTATGGCGATTTCTTTATTCTAAAAGCTACATAACGATATAGATATCAGAAGTGACATTGTTAAGAGACTCTAATGATTATTGTATTTGCTATTGTTTTGAAATTGTATGCTAAAACTAGATAAGGTAGTGTTTTAAACAATAATTGGAATCAGCGATTGTAGATAAAGCGACTCTAAAAAGCGAGGATGTTACAGCATTGGATTGTTAACTAGCTATTGAAAATATGGATTTGTTACAGCCTCTATTCACATGCAAGGTACAAGTCAGTGTCATAGTTTTGGGCGATATGAATGAGTGAACCTGCTTAACTAGGTTGTTCACTTGTTGTAACTGAATATGCCAAGTCATTTATAGACGAAGCAACTTCTGGAAGAGAAGACGCAATAATTAGTATGTTATAAACTACTAAAATAAAAAGTGTTTGGGAACTACTAAAATTAGGAATGTTCCGACTAAGTGTTTAAGTGTTAGATTATCCTGAAATGCTTAAGCGAGTATTGCGGGCCTTGATTCGTCACGTGCTGCAAGACTACCCATTTATTTTTACATTTTTAGCTCATTCATGCTGAAAGTAATGAATGAGGTGTCGTGGTGGAACAGATGTTGACGGAAGTCGTCGACTGTGAACGGAAGTTGTATTCCGTGGACGTAATTTGCATTGTGGACCGTGAGCGGAAGTAGTTTCGCATTCTACCCCTCTCCACTAAGTGAAAGTCAAAATGAATTTCGATGAAGCTCAGAATCTCATGTGGAAAGAAATAAAATGTTTGTATAGTTTATAAACAATAATAACCTTAAATGACATTTCCGAACTTCTTAAAATGCAGCTTGAGTCGAAAAGCCGAAATTTTCACACCCGTTGCGGGTTCATTTCAAAACACGCCGTTACCCCACAGAAGAGCATCAGCATCAGAGGCAGCTATATTGGCAAGCTTCGCATTTGCGTTCGTTTTAAGTTGGTATAAAGTATTCATTGCTCAATCTTTGTGCTTGTTCTCGGGAGCTCTTCAACATTCAGTCAACACATCAATCATAGCGGTCAAGATGATCTAAAATTTTCTTTCGACCTCCATTATTTCGGTCCGGACTTGAGGCTCGCTCAAACAAAACAGCAATACCACCCGGTCAGTAAAAAAATGCAGACTGCAGACTGCAGACCGGGTACAAAATGCAGAATGAGAATTTCTACGGTTTTTTCGTCTGATACGTGATAACATGTTATCTTACAACTTACCGAGCGTCACGCAATCGCTTTTCCGCAATCATCTTTTACGATCATTTGTACTATTGTGCAATATTCCTTGCACAATAGACCGTTTCTTGGTCACAGACGTTCTTAATATAATTTCAAGCCTTCCTAGAGCCTTTCACTTTGCGCCCGAGTTGGTTGGTGTGATGTCTGTATAAAATTTACCAACTTAATAAAAGTGGATGCAGATGTAAATGAGATGTCACTATCGAATATTTAACACGCGCAATATTCGAGACAGCTTAGCATGTGGTCCATACGTTCCATCTTTTTAACCGATATGTGTTCACTTTGTCGGTCGGTGCGTTGCTTTCGTGAATGGCCATTTGTTTACTTTTCTGGTGATTTTATCTCTCATTTGTTTGGTGACTACGCAAATATTAATATGTGAAAATCAGACTATATGAAGCCTTGAAATTCTATTAAGTACGATTGTGACCGCTTTGTTAAAAACCAAATGCAACGGCCGCTTCGTTAAAAACAAAATATATCAAGAAACGGGAAAGGAACATTTCACAATAGTGCAAATGATCGTGAAAGATGAGGGTTACAAATATTTTGCTGCTAGAGCAAATTTTGATGCCTGATCATGCCCACACACACGCAAACAAAAAGGACACTGTTTGCCTGATGACCTCTGCCCATCCCACCTCCAGCCCACGCAACCTTATTTCCAATTCTCATCACGACAAATGCACAAGTTTTCTTATCACACAACTGCCCAAAAAGAAAAGAAAATTTATCCTTTAAGTCTTGAAATTTCACATAAACCGAATTCAATAGTACTTATATTAAACAAGTCCAAGATATCAATAAAAACTTAAGTCGTAACATGAATAAGCTGGCTCCAAGAGCCCTTTGATGAGTGATGTGTTCGTGACCGTTGTATCAGGGCTCAGTTAATTCCAGTACGATAATCGTCATCGTTAGTCGTGTTTGGGTTTGTCCTTGACCTTGCTTAGAGTCCTCGACGGGAAGTTTTGCTTAGGTTTTAATTCTCAAGATTGTTATTTTCAAATGCTTTGTTGTTCACTTTGAATGTCTCATGAAATAGTTTGGGTGAGTGTTCTACTACTGTTTGCTCTGCCAAGGTCAGGATACACCTACCTACAGGATATTTAAGAGCGTGTTCTTAGGCTTGAATTAGAGAGAGAGACAGAGACTCGGAGAATGAAATAAAGTTCCCGAACAGGCTCTTCTTGCCTCTCGTTTGCACGTGGTGGTCGAGCTAGTTTACTCCAACAGTTCAACAAGAATCAAAATGTTCGATCTTTTTTGACATTCTACGAATATTATTCATTTGGAAATAAAGAATTGTTCCGTGCTTAGCGTGCGCATATCGAATTATGGATGGAGGCGGAAAGCTTGGAGAGCTCGAGAGAAGCGTAAGAGTTGAGGCCAGTCGAGGCGCAGCCGCGAGCAACCCTAGCTTCTAGAGTTGTGGTCAAACTTTCCAAGTGCATCCATAACTCGATATGCGCACAGCTTAAGCATGAGACAATTCTTTTATATCATAGCATGGAGACACGTTTCATATATTGTTTAGGTTACGTTACTACATAACTGTAAATATCTTGGCCAAATGGGAGCTCGGGTCATTATGTTAGTTCTAAATAAACCCTCGAAGTAAATAACTGTAAATATATGAAAATCATATATGTGAACTGCGGTTGAAGAAACGAATATTCACCACTTCGAGGGTTTATTTGGAACCAACATTATGACCAGCTCCCAGTTGGCTTATTAGCTCAGTTGGTATAGCACTGCACCGGTATCGCAGAGGTCATGGGTTCAATCCGGCACGAGCCTGAATTTTTTTCAGGTCTTATTTTCACTACTACTTAAGTAGTGTTCATAACTGCGAGGATCGCTTCCATATTCGTTTCTTCAACCGCAGTTCACATATCTACGAATTTCATATATTTGTGGTCATTTCGCTACCAGAAAGTTACCTTTGGATGCACGCGCACAGTCGCTATTTTTTGACTGATTTTTTATAAACAAATTGGGCCCTTAGGATGCTAGATCTTACCGACCTAAAAACTAAGGAACATCCTTTTAAGTATGTCCAAGAGCCTAGACTCACTTTTTTTTCCTTTTCGAGCGTTTCCCAGTACTTCGCATAGCTCTTCTGAATTACTTACCGAGCCACAAGGCGGCAAAGTAAATAATTCACTATTACTTATCGAGATTGAAAATAATTATTGTTCCAGTGCATATACAAGAAGTGGTCTTAAAAGTAGTTATAGAGGAAACCACCTAGAGTCATTTTTTTAATAGCTCAATATCATATCGTGAAAAGGCTTCAGGGGCATGAAAAACCAAACAATACTTGCGCCTGCAGCGTGTAGAACGAGGTTTGTGATCACCAAGGACTCAAGGCACTTCATCATGATCGAACGTGTGGACTTTGAAATGTTTCACTTAGCCTTTGGCCTGTGAGTGCCCAAATATAGAAGACGGACCATGAGCGCTCAAATATAGAATACAGACCAAGAATTACTTTTAACAATCTTGTTTTGACGGTGTCTTTCTATGACGGTTTCACCACAGAACTTCCGCTTAGAGGTATGTGTTTCTTTCTCGCAATTTCCTGTCTCTTTCTCTGGCGGCTGTGCGAAAATTATTCGAAACTTTCTTCATCTTCCTCTAGCTCCACTGAAAATGGCAGACTGAACTTTGTCCCGTTAGGGAAGCCGAAGATTCGAAATGAAGAAACACGTTGAGGAAACTTGTCCCACTGAAAAGTTTAGTTGCGTTTGAAGGGATGAATTGAAGGAGAATTGTTTGGAAGGTTCTCTCGTCCTTACATGCGTATAGACTAACGTTATGTTCAGTGTTCGTGCTTTTTCGCGACAGCCACATGTGCTAAAAGTGAGTTTGTCAGTTACCGTTTCTCGTTTCACATCCACACATTATTCATCTGGAAGTTGTGCCCAAAAAATAATTTGCTTTAGAGGGAATGATGTTCACTGGTCAGAGATAGCAAGCCAATCAGATTTTTTTTTTGATATTTTCCTCGAATTTCGAAGAAATACAGGAACTCGATGCTTCTGACTTCGAATCCGGAGACGCGGTAAAGTTCGGCCTTCTTTGCAATTGCCTCAGGAGAGGTAGGTCCCATAATTTAAGAGCATAATTATTTTTTAGAAGCGCTGGGAGTCTGGAGCTAAAGACGTTTAACCCAGCAAAGTCTACTGACCAAACACTCGTTTGTAATTCACAGACGCCAGCATTTTCCCCAGTCGGCGTAGTTTAATGCATATATACTACAGCAGTTAAACAAAATAGACTGCTGTAAAAATTCCACTAGGTGACAAGCATTTCAGACTCTCTCTATCACCATGAAATGTCCGATATTGTCAAGTTTTTCAGCTAACGAAATTCGTTACTGACGTTGTTGTTTGAACAATCTACTTCCGTGTTTTAGTTTGTCTATTATGGTTTCCATGAATGCATTTAGCTGACAATTCTGTCGTCTAGAGGAAAAGTGAAATCGACGATTCGAGTCTGGCTCTTTTTCATTTTCTTAAACTTTGAAGGAATTAGTAGATATTCGGGTTCTGTTTAAGTTATTAGCTAAATGCGTGGAGATTTGTACGGCTTAACAACGTATAAATGTGTTCGCTATCTGGCATAAAAACGAAAATAGCTTAATTTTTCCTTAGTTCATTAGTTTCGATTTCGTTTTGAAATGTTTGGAATATGTTGCAAAAAATACGTATATGAGGTTATGGCAGTATTTGGAGCTTAAAGATTGGAAAAGCAACGATTTCCACACGTAGTTTTGGATGAGAACTGCACACACCTCGACAAAAAGACCAAAACGAGTTGTTGGGACACCGATTAATGCTTACTTAATCTTACTTAATGATTACTTCGACGTTCATATAGAGGATTTTGGATAGAGATCGTCGCTTTTTCGCCGCTGTTTTATCAGGAACGGATTTAGGTAATGTTGATACGAGGAAAGCGTAAGTTTTTAGAAAATATGTAATAATATATTTCCTTCTAGAAACTTGCAATGTTTGCCCCGTGGTGATCCCAGAGATCTTTGCGCAAACACAATTAGGACGGAAGTACTAATAGGGGAATCCCCGCCTGATCTGAAACCATACGTTGCAAAAGCCATTGGTCAAAATTGACTAATCACTTCGCGTAACGGCATATTTGCATATTGTGTGATTTACATTTTGAAGAGACAGCTTTCAACCA